TCACTTGCATATTTGCACATTTTAGAATTTTTAAATAAGATTCGCCTTCAGACCTAGCTAATCATGAGTTCACAGTAAAAGGAGGTACCCATAACCCATGTGATACTTCTACGAAACAGAGACCATTCAATAATGGGATTATGTAACGGTACTACACTCAAAATTAGGAGGCTACGTGAGTACGTGACCATATTTTAGAAGTCATTGTTATGTGTCTATCACTTGCAAGAGCATTGGTGAATGCGTTCTCATTCCAAGGTTATCTCTAATGCCTTCAGATGTGAGATTTCTTTTCAAATTTCAAAGGAACAATTTTCAATGGTCACTTATTCAATGACTATTAATAAAAGTCAGGGTCAAACTCTTTCATGTAGGATTGTTGTTAAAGAACTTGTAATTCTCTCTAGAAGTACCAATCGAAAAGCGCTGAAAATTTTGTTGGCGGGATGGTGACAATCAAAGCATAACGAAGACAACCAATGATGTCAACAAAGCACTTTTTCAAAATTAATAAAACTCATGTTGAATTTTGTTATTAGTAATTGTTTAAAAATAATATATTTAGTTGTTCTCCTTTAATTGAAATAAAAAAGTTTTTTATTGCATATTGTTATTTCTTTGAGTAGTTTGTATGAAATTTGTATGACCGTGCTTTAGGGATGGATTCGGGCCGGGCCTAGGCCCGGTCGGGCCGCCGGTTCGTATCACATGGGCCCGGGACCGGCCCGAGGGTTGGACGGGTCCGGTTCGGGCCGGGCCACCCGCCCGGGTCACGGGTCGGGCCACCCACCGGGCCGGGCCGGTTAAATATTTTTTTTAAAATTTATATTTTATACTTTATAGTTTTATACAAGTATTAAAAAACAAACTTCAAGTGCAATTATTTGAAATGAAATAGGAACTACATTTGAAAATTAAATAGGAACTATAATTGTTTTTAATCGGAATCTCCGGCATAGGTAGAGCCACCATCTGTTGTAGATTCATCCATAAAGTGTTGGGATGGAGTGATGTCAATTTCTTGAGCTCTACGTGCTGCTTTCAACCAATCGTGGTAGCATATAAGCATCTCAAGAGATTCAGTGCTCAACCTCGTTCTGGTTTGTGTTAGAACATTGCCGGCCGAACTAAATTCTTGTTCCACGACAACCGTTGAAACCGGCATTGATAGCACTTGCTTAGCCATCTTTGCTAAAACCGGGAACATTCTTTCTTTTCCCTTCCACCAGTTTAGTACGTCAAACTCATCATCTTCTTCAAAATCAACATCATAAGTTAAATACATAGAAATCTCATTAATTGTGCTTTGTTGTGTAGCGGGAGTTGATTTTGTTTTTTTAATAAGATTGGCAAACGTAGATTTGAAAATTGATTTTCCTTTAGATGATGTTTGTGTCGGGGGAGGGGGCGCATTGCCATATTGTGCATGAAACTCATTGAATAATGCATAAAATATATCACTAACCTCGTTGTATTCTTTTTTCGGATCAATTGGGTTGTCCTCATACATTGGCAATGGACCCAAAAAAGCAGCATAATAATAATTCAAACATTCTTCTAAAGAACCAAGTCTAAAACGAGGATCGAGAACAAATGCAATACCATAAATATGCGGAATATGTGAATAATATTTTAAAAACTTTTCCTTCATAAAACCAGCAAAATAACTCACATAATCAGCATTCTCAAAATTTGAAAAAGCACCGGCGAGATTAACAGCTTCACGAATAAATTGGTTTGAGGTAGGTTTATAAACATGACTAAAAGTTTCAGTTGCATTATTAAAATATATCAAAGCATTACAAATTTTTTCACAGGTGTCGATCTCAGCCGAGTTTATAATATAGTTATCATATTGTTTCATAAAAGCAGGAAAATGTTGTTTATATCTAAGAAGAACTCCAATTAACTTATAGGTACTATTACAACGAATAGACAAATCTTTTGGAAAAGCCACATATCTCTCACCTCTTTCTATCAAATAATCATGCCATTTTTTCCTAAGGTGTCCATTACCCCAAATACGTCTAATCCCCCCTCCCCCCCTTGACTACCTCCAACGATGCTCCCAACGCTTTTAGACCATCTTGCACACATAAATTTAGAACATGACATGCACATCGTTGATGAAAAAATCTACCCATCAAAGAAGTAAAACCACACAATTCACGCAATCTAGGAATAGCAGCAGTATTATTAGTAGCATTATCAAAACCAATAGCAAACACCTTATCAATTAAATTATACTCAATTAAAACACGTTCAATCAAAATATAAATATGTTCAGCGGTGTGACGATCATTAAATTCACGGAAAGCAAGAACACGTTTATGCATATGCCAATCATTATCAATATAATGTACAGTCAGACCCAAATAATGTAAATTATGATAAGTATCCTCCCATATGTCAGAACATACAGTAACACGTCCATCAAAGTTTGCAAAATAATTTTGTAACCTTACCTTTTCCGCACCATAAAGCCTTGAAATTTCTTTCTTAACCGTTTTGCGATTATAATCTCTATATTGCGGATTTAAACAAGTTTGTGCATAATCACGAAAAGCAAGACTTTCAGAAAACAAATAAGGCAAATTTTCTTCAACAAATAAGTTAGCCATACCTGTCAAATTTTGTGCATCATTGTATGAGAAATTACCAAAAGCTTGTTGGTTATTTGCAAACCTCGATATTTGCGTTTGCTTCCCCGTTCCGCCGCCTAATTTTGCATACTCCACCGGGTGTTTGGACTTAAGGTGTCTTGTGGCGGATCCGTATCCGCCGGAAATCCCCAAGCTATAGTTTTTCTTGCACCAATTGCAAGTTGCGGTCCAATTCCCGGTGTTCGGGTCCTTCCACTTAGAAAAATTATTAGCCATTAATTCAGATTTACTTTTTTTTGTACCTGTTTGGGATGAGGCTGCTTGGTCGGCGTCATGGCTGCCGCCACCCTCCTCCTCCTCCTCGTCGTGGCTCTCCGGAATTGCTTCCTCCACATCGTCGTCCTCGTCCTCGAGCTCTTCTTCGTCAATGGTTCTCGGTTGGTCTTGAAAAAAGCGGGAATTATGTCGGTGCAATTCTTGTTCTAGTTGTTCGTCGGTCATCGCATCCCCATCCCTCCTTACGTAACACGTATCAAAATCATCTTGACTTTGAGATGAAGAGCCGATATGTGATTTACCTTTGCGGGATCTCTTCCTTGCAAGCTCTTCAGTCGGTTGCGCTCGAGGTTACCCATATCAACCGAATATCTAGGACGATCCATTTAAAAAATGTAGCGATTAAAAAACTAATTAACTATTTATCTAACTATTAATTCGAGTTATAGCAAATTAAGTAGTGAATTAACTAGTTTTGTGTACAACATATTTTTTAAACTAGAGTCAAATGTAGCAATTAATAAAAAATTGTAAAAAACTAATTAACTATTTATCTAACTATTAATTCGAGTTATAGCAAATTAAGTAGTGAATTAACTAGTTTTGTGTACAACATATTTTTTAAACTAGAGTCAAATGTAGCAATTAATAAAAAATTGTAAAAAACTAATTAACTATTTATCTAACTATTAATTCGAGTTATAGCAAATTAAGTAGTGAATTAACTTGTTTTGTGTACAACATATTTTTTAAACTAGAGTCAAATGTAGCAATTAATAAAAAATTGTAAAAAACTAATTAACTATTTATCTAACTATTAATTCGAGTTATAGCAAATTAAGTAGTGAATTAACTACTTTTGTGTACAACATATTTTTTAAACTAGAGTCAAATGTAGCAATTAATAAAAAATTGTAAAAAACTAATTAACTATTTATCTAACTATTAATTCGAGTTATAGCAAATTAAGTAGTGAGTTAACTACTTTTGTGTACAACATATTTTTTAAACTAGAGTCAAATGTAGCAATTAATAAAAAATTGTAAAAAACTAATTCACTATTTATCTAACTATTAATTCGAGTTATAGCAAATTAAGTAGTGAATTAACTAGTTTTGTGTACAACATATTTTTTAAACTATAGTCAAATGTAGCAATTAATAAAAAATTGTAAAAAACTAATTAACTATTTATCTAACTATTAATTCGAGTTATAGCAAATTAAGTAGTGAATTAACTATTTTTGTGTACAACATATTTTTTTAAACTAGAGTCAAATGTAGCAATTAATTAAAAATTGTAAAAAAGTAATTAACTATTTATCTAACTATTAAACAAGAGTCAAATGTAGCAAATTAACTAGTAATTAAACAAGTGTAAATAATAGAATAATTTCGTACCTCTTTCGGACTTTCGGTCTTTCGGATGGGAGTAATAGAATGACTTCAAATTAATTAGATATAATTCCAACTATATTAATAGATATAATAAATATATAAGTAATATATAATTAGATAACAAATATAAGTAATATAATACTATTTATATCTATTTATAGTTTATGTAAGTAGATAATTAATATAAACTATAAATAATAAATATAATATATTGGAGAATGGAGAATAAGAGAATTAGAGAGTAGAGAGTTAAGAATATGATTTAGGAAGAATTGGAGAAGAGATATGAAAAAATGTTTAAGATTATGAGTATTTATAGGTTTTTTTACCCCCCCACCAGCCAACCCCCCCGGACCCCCTCTTTACCCCACCCAACGGCTATATAGCCGTTTGGGTTGTCCCCAGCCCCACCCCCAACGGCTAGTAGCCCAAACCAATTTTTTTTTTTTAATTAGACCTGGACCCGGGCCCGGGCCCGACCCGGCCGGACCGGGTCACAATAATCCAGCACCGAGCCTGCCCCGCCCCTTCCCCACGGTTCGGGTCCATACCCGGTCCCGGACCGCCCGACCGGGCCGGTCCCGGGCCCGCACAATACCGGGCCGGGCCGGGTCACGGGCCGGGTGGCCCGAACCGAATCCAACCCTACCGTGCATCGCACGGATGAACTAGTTATATTATAATATAATAATATTATAACGTAATAACATTATATTATCTCCGTCCCAAATCAATTGAAAAACATGGAGTGTTTATCGTCCAAGGTTGGTTATTACCCAATGAAAAAACCAACTATATCTTTTCTTAGACAAGAGAATACCAAATGCACAAGAGGATGATAAGAAACGCACATCATTTATATACTTAATAAAACATAGAGAGTTAATTAAGATAAATAATTACATTCTCAGTGACAATATGAGCATGTTCCTAAGAACCATATCAGAATGAATAATCACTTGCCATGAAGAATTGCTCGGACAACAGCCTCAACTTCAACCACACTGGGTCCCTTAATTTCATCAAGTGGTGTGTTCTCATCAATTTTACCACTCCTTCCATGGGTTTCCTTGTCATGGTGCAACTCTTTCTTAGCTTTCTTAATGTTGTTTGGGCATTTTCCTTCTTGGAAGGAAATTGCAAAAAATAAAACAAAGAGCTAACAGGTAAGTTACTATGGCATGTTAGATTTAACATTAAATCTTAAATTTTAAGTCTTTCTTTTAACAAATCTAGGAACTAGCATGCTAAATTTAAAATTTGAAACAAAAAGTTCATCTTTTTACCAATTCTAAAAACTGCATACAATTTGAATCATCTTAAAATCTGTACATACGCATGAAACATGTAATAAAAGTATAAAACATTAAGAGTTAATTAAGAGAAATAACATTCTCATTCACAATATGAGTGTTCCCAAGAACCATATCCGAAATAAAGAATCACTTGCCAGGATGAATTGCTTCTACAACGGCCTCAATTTCTTCCTTAGCTCGCTCAAACACATTTGGTCCCTTGATTTCATCAAGGGGTGTGTTCTCATCGATTTCTCCACTCCTTCCATGTGTTTCCTTGTCATGGTGAACCTCTTTCTTAGCTTTCTCATTGATGTTTGGGCATTTTTCTTCTTTCTCACCATGGTAAAAAATTGTAAAAAATAAAAACAAAGTGATAACAGACAAGTTACTATGGCATGTTAGGTTTAAAAGGCAAAATTGACACCAATAGTCCCTACTTCTAGGCATTTTACAAAAATAATCCCTACTCGAAAAGTTCACAACAATAATCCCAACCGGATAATTGTTTCACAAAAATAAACCGGAAGTTAACGGTGTTAACTTCTCCGTTTTTTTTTTGAATTTAAAATAAAATGAAGCAAAAATATATAAAAACATTAATAATATTATGTTTTGGTTTAGTCTTATTTCTACAATAAATTTAATTTAATAATAACTATTTTTGTAAAATATACTCCGGTAATAAAAATATTTGAACACATACTTGTATTCATTTTAGTAATTTTAATATAGAATTAATAAAATTAATTTTAAATCTCTATTACAATGAATAAAAATGAATATAAATAAAATATTGATTAGAACTAAAAGAAAAAAATGATTTGATGAGTATGCTTTTAAATATTTTTATTACATTTTTTGAAAAATAATGATTATTAAATTTAATTCATAATAAAAGTAAATATAAGGACAAATATATGGAGTATATAATATTGTTGATGCTTGTACATATTTTTGCTTCATTATATTTAAAATACAAAAAACAAACTAAACAGAAATGTGAGCACTATTAAATTCAGGTTTATTTTTGTGAAAGAGTTAAATAGTTCAGATTATTATTGTGAACTTTCCCAGTAGGGATTATTTTTATAAAATGCATAAAAGTAGAGATTATTTATGTCAATTTCGCCGGTTTAAAATTACATCTTAGATTTTAAGTTTTTCTTTTACCAAATCTATGAACTGCATACAAATAGCATAAAATTTGAAACATAAAGTTTATATTTTGACCAAATTCATGAACTCTATACAAATTGAATCATTTATACATCTGTAGATACACACATGAAACATGTAATGGAGAATATTGGATGAAAAATAAACTACGATTGAATGCAAACTTTAAAATTTAAATCACAGGATTTAAATTATTTACTAAAATTTTGAGCTACAAACAAATTGACTTCTTACCAAATTTGGGGGACATACACACAGATCAATTCACCGTCGAAACATTAAGAAGTTGTTCTGTTCGTCTCATTCTTATTACTTATTGCTTATTCTTATTTTATTCAGATCAGATCAGAAAAATTCAGATCAGATCAGAAAGATTTAGATCAGACCAGAAGCATTCAGATCAGAAAAATTCAGATCAAAAATATTCAGATCAGATCAGAAGCATTCATATCAGATCAGAAACATTCAGATCAGAAAAGTTCAACCATGATTTATCACTTTTATTATTCTAATAATTTTAATAATAATAATAATAATTGTTATTACTACTACTATTGCTACTATTACTACTACTACTATTATTATTATTAAAGTAATTGCCCCATATAGGACTAAAACAAAGGTGAAATGCAAAAATAAGACTTGATATGTTTTCTTCCCTTAATAGGACTCATTTACTCCTACCGTTAAAAACTTGAAAATTAACATCTCAGGTTTGCCCTTGAACCCACTTACACCTTGTCTCTCCCCTTCCCTACTCATAGATCGCCGATTACTTCTTCAGACCCCAAAGGATATAACCGCATCTCATCTTCTCCGCATCCCATCTTCTTCGTGCATCGCAGCCACCGCCGACTCTCCCGCCTCAGGCCGCTATCGTCACTATCGACTTCACCACGCGCCGTCACAGGTTTCCTCTTCTTCTTCTTCTTCTTCTTCTTCTTCTTCTTCTTCTTCTTCTTCTTCTTCTTCTTCTTCTTCTTCTCCTCCTTCGATATCCTCCTCCTTCCCCTCCTCCTTCTCCTATTCTTCTATTTAAATGAGATTTGCCACCGATTTTTCTAGTTTTCCTCAGATTCTTATGTTTTCTTGGGTTTTGACACTGATTTTGCCAATTTTAGGAATTTTGTTTTGTATTTTCTGACTTTTTGTTTCAAATTACTTAGTTTTTTAGTTTTGACATTCGATTTATGGATTTTGGAATTCTATTTCAAATTTCTGTTTCCTGATTTCTTGATTATAAAAGAAAACCAGTTTTCCATATTCTTGGACTATGACATACGATTTTGCCAAGTTTATGACATATTTTTGGATGATGATATACGGTTTTACCAAATTTAAGGCAGAAATGTACTCTGACAATCATATTATGGCAAAACACTTTTTGTGTTAATAGTTTTTTTTATTTTTTGTCATTAAATTCTTATTTCTGTTAAAGTTATTGTTCTATTATTATTTTTTTGTTTTTTTGAAAATTTAGTTGTGGACTTCATATTTTGCCAAGATTATGGCAGTTTTGTGTAAATCAGTCAAGATAAATCTGCCAAATTTATGGCAGATCTGTAAATTTGTTTTCAAGGCAGATTTGTATGTACTCTTCAAGGTCAAATCTGCCAACTTAATGGCAAATTTACGGCAGTGGGCTATGAAGGCGCAGTGGTGCTCGGAGGTGAAGTGGTGGCCCTGGATTGAACATCGGCGGCAATGACGAGGACCGGATGGCGGCGGCGGAGGTGGATGGCGACGCCGTTTGGACGGCGACAGATGACAACGATGCGCCGGCAGGGATGCGGCGGGGCCCGGCCAGAACAACGGTCAGCAGTGGAGGCAGTTGGCGGTGGCGGCAGTCGTCGACGTCGGCGAGGGTAGCGGCAGTCGACGGCGTCGGCGAGGGTAGCGGCAGTCGGCGATGACATGCGGCTCCGACTCTGGCATGCTGCTGCTAGCAGTTGACAATTTAGGGTTTCAATAGTTTTTTATTTTTCATTTTCAAAATAAAAAAAAACAGGGTTATTTTGGTCCAACTAAGTTGAAATTGGTCTTATGAAACTTGGCCTTCGTTTATAGTCTTATATATGCAATTAACTTTGCTATTAGTCCTATTTGATATTTGAGGCATGTTTCTTATTATTATTATTAAATTATAATTATTATAATCATAATTATAGAAATATTCAAATCAAATTAGAAAGATTCAGATCACATCAAAAGTATTCAGATCAAATCAGAAAGATTCAGATCAGATCAGACCAGATCAGAAAGATTCAGATTAGATCAGAAAGATTTAGATCAGATCAGAAAGTTTCAAATCAGATCAGATCAGAAAATTTCAAATCAGATCAGAACTTAATAAATTCAGATAAAAAACATTCATCGTTCTACCAAGACTAGTTCACACAAAAGCCCTAAGTTTTAATTTTCCATTTGAAATCATATTAGGCCATCAGTGCAAGTTGATCCCAAGATCGAAATATAGTCCGAGATAAGCATTCAAAACTAAAATCAGGAAAATAATCGTGAAAAAGTTCTCAGAACAGATAGCTAAGAATCTGAATGTGCAATTCTGTACCTGAACGTGCGGATTCCGCCATGACAGTATGATGGATGAGGAAGCAAATGCGATCCTTTGCTCGGAAGCCACTGAAGCAGACGAGGAAGAAGAGGTCTCGCAGATCGCACTCTCGCCCTCTCTGTCCTGTCCCTCGCTGAAGCGGACAACTTCCCAGGTCTCTTCTAGATTTCTCGTCTACTAGTTTCAAACTTTCAATATCTAAAAATTAGTCCACTAGTGTTTGATGGAGCACTCAACTTTATACGCATAGTTAGTGCGCATTAGGTACAAAAACATCAGATATCTAAAATGAGTCTCGTACTTTCAAATATCAAATATCTTATGTTTGATATGGTTCCGTGGTGGGCTCCATAAAAAATTAGTCTAGTAGTTTCTAGGAGTTGGTGCCGTCCGATTCGATCCAATATTTTACCAAACTCGTACCCGAATCGTTACTATTGAAACGGTTCGGTTCGGTTCTATTTTCAAACGGTCTGGTACCATGTCATATCAATGCCAAACAATGCAACTTTTTTCGATAAATTAAAACTTAGTTATCATCCAAAAATCCACACAATTATCAATTTTCATACTACCTCCGTCTTAAAAAACTTTGTCATTTCAAAAAAATTGAACCATGATTTTAATTTGTATATTATTATGGAAGTTATAAATTTTATACTTTTATGAAAGTATTTTTAACAAAGAACATTTTCATATAAGTTTTATATTATAAATAATTCTCAATAAAAAATGTAATTGGTCAAAGTTTTGAAAATGGAAAAGTTTTTTGGGATAGAGGTAGTATTACATAGTTAATGAATTTCTTATAAACTATAATAGTACAAAACATAAATAACTAGCAATTAGCAAAGTGCAAATGAGTAATCAAAGTAATGGTAATATGGTATACATGTATATATAATTATAAAATTATATAAATTAATAAAATTATAATTCGGTTCGGTTCGATCCGGTGCCGGTTCTCATTTTATGAGAACCGGTCATGGCATGGTATGAAATCGGTCCGGTCCGGTTCGAGACAAAATTTTTGAGAACCGTTTGAAATCCCGTTTTCCGGTCCGGTATCATATGGTCCGGTTCGATACCATGCCGGTTCGGTTATTTTGCCCACCCCTACTAGTTTCAAAATCATGCACTCAACTTATGTTTGATATAGTTCATTATTTATGATTTAATATTCTGATTTTTAGAAAAAATGTTATTATTTAATATTATTTCCATTTTACACAAAGTACAAACTAGCATTCACAATTACAAATTTTAGGATTATTGATTATAATATATAATTTATACGGTGTATATTGAGTTATTACTAGTTTTATATTTGTTGGGTGTATTGTTAAGTTTTCATTATTTTAAACTAATTTTGTATACTATTAGTTATGGCGGACAATGAAGGTGAAACCGTGTATGATCTCCATCTAAAGATCATGCTAGAAGAGTGAAATCTGATGACCCAGGGTGGCACCACGGATTTTGGGCAGACTTGAATAATAAAGACCTCGTCCAATGTCAGCACTGTAATAAGCAAATGCGTTCTGGCATAAAGAGATTGAAGCAACATTTATCAGACAGATATGGAAATGTTGTTGTATGTTCTCATACGACAACAGAACTCATGAGGCCGGGGGATGCAAGAATATCTAATGAGAAAATCAAGAAAAAAACTGATCCACATTGAGGGTGATGACGATCAAGATGATGTTGAAGTACCTTTGACTCAAATAGATACTTCAACTTCTCAACCGAGTTCTAGGACAACAATCAAGAGAAAAAATGATGCTTCACAATTCATTAATGTTCCACCAAAAATGCCCAAACTAAACAAGTCAATTGCCTCCATCATTCGCAAAACTCCCGAGGAGGTTGTTGATGAAAGACATACGAAAGGCCCACCCAAACTACACTAGAACAATGCACAAAAAGCAAGGAGGAGAAAGAGAGGGTCTTCATGCACATTGATGATTTTTTTATGAAACGACATTCCTTTTAATGCAGCAAACTCCAGGAGTTATGAGATCATGGTGGAGTCAATTGGGTTGTTTGGACCATGACTTAAACCTCCTAGCTATCATGAGTTGCGTGTATCACTTCTTGAAAAAGCAAAGAAAAATACTAAGAAGCTCAGAGAAAAACATGAACTTGCTTGGAAGGAATACGGGTACACTCATGTCTGATGGATGGTCCGACCGAAGGAATCGACACTTGCATCAGGTGAATCTCAAGATGCAACATTGCTAGCAGGTATGCTTGAGAAAAAGTTGAAGAAGTTGGAAAAGACAAGGTGGTGCAAGTGGTGACAGACAACGACTCTAACTATAAGGCAGCGGAAAAGCTTCTAGAGCACAAGATATACATGCTTTATTGGACTCCATGCGTTGCACATTGTTTGGATTTGATGTTAGAGGATATCGGTAAATTAGCCGATTTCAAGCCCAACATTGAAAAAGCAAGACGTGTGACTACTTTCATTTATCGGGATACGAGAATCCTCCATTCAATGAGACAAAAGACGGGTGGTGACAGACAACGACTCTAACTATAAGGCAGCGGGAAAGCTTCTAGAGCACGAGATATCCATGCTTTATTGGACTCCATGCGCAACACATTGTTTGGATTTGATGTTGGAGGATATCAGTAAATTAGCCGATTTCAAGCCCAACATTGAAAAAGCAAGATGTGTGACTACTTTCATTTATCGGGATACGAGAATCCTCCATTCAATGAGACAAAAGACGGGTGGGAAGGATCTTGTAAGACCTGGAGTTACTCGATTTGCAATAGCGTTTCTCACTTTGCAATCTCTATATAAACACAAAGAAGCATTGAGAAATCAATTTAGCGGTCTGGATTGGGGTAGATCTAAATTGTCTGCCACAGAAGCAGGAATGAAGGCTAGTGAGATTGTGTTGTCTAATTTATGGGATAATCTGATCTCACAAATTTTTGGGAAAAATAAATTAGCAGTTGGATACTTTGTCCCATAAAACATTTATGTGTCAAAATAAAATAAATCTTATTTATCACACACTTCTTTTGTAATCTCCCACTCACTTTCACAAGGCACATCTTTATACTATGACTCACGCATTTTAAGCCTAGGAAACACACTCTTATAAAGCAAAGCTTATTTTAACATAAAAAAAGTTAAGTTCCACCTAGTCGGACAATCCAAGCCTAACTTTTAGGTATATGGCAACTTCATTCCCCGACAAACCTCTTCAAATTTCTCTACCCTCTTTGGAGATGTTGTCCAGAAAACCACACTATCCTTTACGGTATTAATAAAGTCTTTAATAACCTCTAGACCAATCTTCACAACAAGATTAACGATATGAGCTGAAAAATGCATGTGTAACAAAGCACCATCTTTCAACAAATGTTCAATATTCAATATATTGGTCAACTTACCAATCATGCTATCTGATGGATAGTCTACCCGGGGGTATATATCCGAAGGGTTATTACGGGGAATAACTTAGAGAGAAGTCAGAGCAAGTAAGTAAAAGTAGAGAGAGAGTGTATTCAATATGAATGCCGTTTTCAGCGTGGTTATAAATGGGGAAATGGGGTGCTATTTATAGTAGCAATAAATGCCGGGCAGGAACACGTGTCAAGCGCTCATTGGCCGAGGGGTCACCTCAACTGGTTGGCGCTGGCAGCCGCATGTGGCCGCATTTAATGCGGCTGTTGGACGGGACGTCTGTGCGGGGTACGGTGATCTGTACGCATGTGAGGCGGATATCTTGTCGAGTGAGATGCCTTCGGCTATAGAGCAGTAGCCGAGGGCTCTTCCACCCGATGGCACCCTGGTGCCGAGGGCTCACAGTGCCGAGGGCTACTGTTTTCGCCGTTTTCTCCCAGTTTCTTAATTTGCTTGAGAAACCCGTTCTGTGAGAATTTAGAGCCTTCGGCCAGGGGGCCGAAGGCACCCCTGGCGCGTAGTGCGGGCTGCTTGGTACTCCGGGCGCTGTGATTTGGGCCTGCTGGGCCTTCTGGGCCTGTTGGGCCTTCGCTGGAGTAGTAGGAGTCTGTGGGCCGGGGGTTCCCGGGCCATGTACTCCATCAGGAGTCCCTCACTCCTTTTGCCGAAAGGTACTTGAGGGAAAAGGAGTAATTTGTGCTTGCCCTTTGATGTTGTCCCGTCATGATCTCTGAAGTTGGTGAGGAGTTGTTGCTTTTATGTCCCTGCCGAAGGCAGTCCCTCAGTTACCCACATGTCGGGACTTGAGGGCTTGCCTTGTCGTTTGTTGGAATTTCACAGATTTTGTAATTTAATGATTTTCCCGAGGGGGTCCTCCAGTCCCCCACTCCTTGAGGCACTTGTAAAGTGGTGAAAAGGAGTAAAGTAGTCACGTTGCTGTTGTGGGCCGAAGGCTGACGCTTTTCGTTTCATTTTGGGGGGATGCCTCGTTAAAAACCTCATTAGGAAAAACCCTTTGGGAAAAAATCCTAATGAGGGAAAAAGAGTGCACCGAATTCCCCCAATGATGAATCGAAAATGTCAAACCTTGGTAAAAAATGGAGAATGACGGGAATGCCGAAGGCTCTCTCTTCTGAGGGCTCCTGTGTTGATTAGCCGAAGGCTAGCTGTTGATGTCCTGGTGGCGCCGAAGGGGAGCCCCTCAATTCGGGGATCGAGGGCCTGCTGGATGAGGGCCGCAATTGGAGTTGTTACTGGGGGGTCCACTGTTTGTTGATTAGTTGGTGATGAAGATACCCGAGGGCTCCCATTACCTGTGTGCCATGGGTCATCCGTCAATGAGGCAACTCCCCGGGGGCTACCCGGTTTTGCAGTGCTGAGGGGGAATCCCCGAGGGGTGCCCTGATATGAAGCCCTGGGTTTCTGAAGGAGTGATCCCGAAGGCGTCTGTTATGTGCTGTTTGGGGCACAACCCGGGGGCACTTCTAAGTGAGTGTACCCGGAGGCTACCCTTGATGAAGTGGAGTGAAGTAGAAAACCCGGGGGTTTCCGGAATATAGCCGTTGGAAATATAGCCGTTGGAATATGTAACGACAGGATATATCCGTTGGGGGGGTGGCACACGTGGCGTGTGATGGCTGGCTGTTCGTGGGCGGCGTCACCGGTTGGGTGAAACGACGGTGTGTAATGATGACGGTCCGTCCGGAGGCCCGGTTTCCGGGCCCAAGCCCGGATTCCAGCGCCTATAAATACCCCAAGGCTAGGGCCATTCCTTCTTGTGCGATCATTTGTTTTAGCGAAGCTCTGCCGAAAATTCTAGAGAGAGAAACTCCAGCCTTCGGTCAAAACTCTGCTTTCAAGGTCAGTGCCCGTTTTCCTCTCCAAACTTTTAGTAAGTTCCGCCCTCTGGCCTTAGATTAGGGTTAGTCCTGTAGAAAGCCTTCGAAACCTTAGACACACTTCGTGATAAAAATGTCGTCCGAGAGCGATTCCCAGGACATCTCGAGGACGCCCTCGATGGAGGATGAAGGCATCTCCGACGTGGAGTCCAGCAGTGGTCAGCCCTCGGATGGTGGTGATGCAGCCCTCGCCACTGAGGTGCAGAAGGATCTGATGGCCGAGGCCGAGGCGGAGGAATTCGAGCGAACTGCCGAGGTTGAAGAGTTGGCCCTCGCCGTCCAAGTTGCTGAAGAGGAGGAGGAAAAGGAGAGGGCGAAGGTCACTGTGGCAGTCCTTCCCCCTCGGGGTGCTGGTGAGGCCAGTACTTCCCAACCGCTGAATGCAGTTCCCATCCGGGTGGCCCCCGGGAAGAAGAAGGCCAAGGCAGCTGCCCCCAAGAAGAAGGTTATTGCTGCTGATCAGGGGAAACCCGTAGATATGCCGGAGGGGTATTCCTGGCTCAACACGGCTGCCTTGGAGATAAAGTCGAAGGCGGACAGGGCGGACCTCTACGTGACGCAGCTACATGTAGGGCCCTCGGCCGTGGTGGTCGAGCCGGGAGTTGACGACGTGCTCTCTCGGACGCCTGAGGGGTGCATTGCAGTACACGTACTGTCGGTCTCCATGGGCCTTCGATTCCCTCTGCACCCCTTCCTCCGGGAGTACCTGAGGTTTGTTGGCTTGGTACCCTGCCAGCTGACACCTAATAGCCACTCCTACGTGGCGGGTTTTTTAAACCTCTGTAGGGACCGAGGGGTGACCCCCAGCCTGGACTTGTTCTTCCAGAGCTTCAACCTCTGTCGAGGGGGTCACGCGAATGCCGAGGGCTTCGCCAACCTGCAGCAGGTGGCCAGGTGGAAGCTGTTTACGGAGGCGCCTTCGTCCAATAAGGGCTGGAAGGAGCGCTGGTGCTATGTCAGGGTTGCTGAGAACCCATTTCCGGCGGAACTTCGGGATCGCTTCCGTCGGCATCCGAAGGTTGGAAGCGCCGCCCTCGAAAAAGATGGCCTGGTGATAGCCAAAATCCCGGAGGGTCGCACAAAGCAGGTCTCCATCAAAGACTATACTGCCGACAAGGGATTCTACGCCCTCGGCTTTCGGAGATACCGATTTATTGGGGAAGCGGACGAGAAGTACCCCATTTTTGTTGAGGCCTTCGGGGGAACAGGAGGTAGTCTACGAGGTCCCTCGGTTTTCATATCTTAGCACATAGCTTATTTTGTTCGTGTTTTTTTTATTCTTTGTGCCTTCGGTCAGTAACCCCTCGATTTTGACCCCATACCTTTTTGTTTGCAGGTGTCCCATTGAAAATGATGAACGTCAGAGGCCTTGCAGACCTGAAGAAGAAAAAACCCTCCAAGGGCCCGAGGGGGACGGACGCCGGTGTCCTAAAACCCGCCGGTGACTTCTTCAAAAAACCGGAGGGGCCGTCGGTGGGCCCAAGTGCTGATGCTGCCGCTGCCGCCAAAAGGAAGGGCTCGGGCAGAGATCCCGAGGGCAAGAAGCCCAAGACCGGGGATGCCGGGAAGAAAGTCCCCCCGGTTATCATTGTTGATGAAGGCCCTGCCTCCGGGGCGAATGAGGACATGCAGGTGGCGAAAGTGCCGCCGGGAGTTCAGGGGCCATCTTCCGAGGTCCTCATTCTTTCCCTCTCGGCTGGTACGGCCGTGATGAACGGTACGGCCGACCCGAGGGCGCTTCTGAGAGGCATCACCCTCGAGATTGACAGAGTAGCCCTCGGGGCTGATGAAGACGAAGCCCTCGAGGACAGGATCCTCCGGTCTTCCCTCACAGTAAGTCTTTTATGTTTATTTCTTTCTTTTCTACTTCGAGCTAAGAAACCATGTTTGGCCTCGCTAACCCCTTTGTTTTTGTAGACCTGCATTGCCCTCGGGGAGCAAGCCCGGCGGCTAGATGAGTGGCGCCTTCGCAAGGCCGAGCAGGAGGCCAAGATGCGGGAGCTCATCCGCCAGAATGCAGACGCTGTTCGATAGATGGCTATGCTGGAGGAGAGCCTTCGGCAGATGACCCTGCGGGCGGAGGCCGCAGATCGGGGTAGGGCAGAAGCCGAGAGGTCCGCAGCTGAGGCCTTGGAGAGAGCTGTCAAGGAAGCCGAGGCCGCGAAGGTGGAAGCCGTCGAGAGAGCCCGAGGGGACGCAATCTCGGGGTTCTTGGCAGGGGGGTGGCGGTCCGAGGAACACAAGCAATGGCTGTCCTCGGTCGTCGAGTCCTCGGTCGACGAGTGGTGTGATGGGCCTGGCGTGGAGTGGGTTTCCCGAAAGGGTAAACAATACTATGATGGGGGCGAGTTTTTCACTCAAGCCCTCATCTACCGGAGGATGGCTCGCCACCTGAAGATCGAGCCAAAGGACTTTGACCCGGCAGCATACGGGCTCCCCCCTGCAGCCAGACATCCGCGTTCCTCTTCCCCCCGATGTCGAGAGGCCAGACCTGGAGGACTCTGAGCTCATGAAGGAAGCCGAGGGCGACGAACCTGAGGCCGACGCAGAAGTCTCCTCGAAGCCATCGGGGGAGGCGGCCCCCGGGAATGACATTATTTGATATGTATTTTGTATTATGTAAACATGTATTTGTAATGGTGACATTATTCATCCTTCGGCTTCGGCCCGCTTGTAACATTTATTCGTATTACATTTGCCCTCTGTTTGTTGATGATTGAATGATTGCCTTCGGGCTGTGTTTATATGACTTGTTTTCTCCAATTCCTTTCTTCTTGAATGTATGCCTCCGTTTTCCTTGAGTGTATGTTTTAGGACTTAGAGTATTTTCTGATTGTAGCTTGCCCCTGGAAGCCTTCGGTAGTTGGGCACCCTCTGCTGGATATGCAACTGAGGGTTCAGCAGCAATTAGGACTTAGAAATTTTTCCTAAGTGTAGCACAGCATGAGGCCTTCGGGCGTCAGTAGTAACCCAAATCCTAGGACTTAGAAAAATTTCTAAGTGTAGATTTCCCCTTGAGAGCCTTCGGGATATGGCATCCCTTCCTGATGTGTGATTGTTGGACCGAGGGCCCAATGTACAGGACTTAGAATTTTTTTGCAAGTGTAGTACGTCACGTAGCCTTCGGCTACTGTGGAGCCTCAACTGAAATATTGAGTAGGCCGGGGGCCAATTCTTTAGGACTTAGGAAATTTTCTTGAGTGTTGATTCCTTGTGTACTGTAACCTTCGATTGATAGACAGCCTTCGGCGATTAGGTCCCTTGAGATGAGGGTGAAATATGTAGGATTTAGAAAATCTTCTAAGTGTAGAGTTTCCCTTGGGAGCCTTCGGGAGATGGCATCCCTCCTTGACGTATGAGCAGTTGACCGGGGAAAAACATGTAGGACTTAGAAAATATTCTAAGTGTGGATTTTCCCTTGGGAGCCTTCGGGAGATGGCATCCCTTCTTGATGTATGGCCTTCGACTGTCATATTCCTCTACCTGCAATACTGATTGAGCCGGGGGCCCATCTTTAGGACTTAGAATTTTTTTTGCAAGTGTTGTTGTATCGCATAGCCTTCGGCTATTGTATTCCCTTGGCTGTAATATTGATTGAGTCGGGGGCCCAATTTTAGGACTTAGAATTTTTTTTGCAAGCGTAAAGTGATGTCAAGCTTCCAGGTGTAGAGTCCTCCGGATATATGAACGGGACCCTTCGGGTGATCGTGGGCCCCTTGAGTTGTAAGAGCATTTGATCGAGGGCCAAATACGTGGAACTTTAGCAAAATTTCACAGTGTGTCGTAGATGTTGGACCTTCGGTCAGTGAGGAGTCTGTTCGGGGGGGCAAATATTTTGGAGTAGTCCCCCTCGGTTCATTTTTGATGATTTGTAATATATGCCTTCGGTTGTCTGGTGATATATTAGCCTACGGTTGCCGTCATTTTCCAAAAATGTGGACTTAGGAAAAGTGTGGAATCCTGTTGTTGTGAAGAAAGCCAATGATGAGTGTGTGCCCTCGGCATACACTCTGAAGAGTTGTAGAGTTTGACTCAGCCAGTTGTGTCCCTTGTAACGGGGTAGGGGCCCTCGGTATTAATGCATAACAGATGCCTTCGGTGTTTGTAGTACCGTTTAGGGGGCTTTGGATAGTCCCGTCCCTTGGTATTGTTGAAGCCTTCGGTGCTTGTGTGACCGGAGGTGACCAGGCAGTGGACTTAGCCGTTTCTTGATGATATTTGTTTGAGTAGTATCCTTCGGGAAATAGGAGCCTTCAATTACCGGAGGTGTTCACGTGGGGAGCCCTCGGCATGTTGTGATCTGTTGGAGTGTACTCTTTGATTTCTCGCTGAGTCTAATCCCCTTCACCCCCTCTTTTTTTTTTTTGGTTGGTGGTGAAGGGAAGGCATCAAGAAACTTGGTTTCTTGGTAAGGCTGGGCCTATTAGGAGACCATCAGAATACACCAATGGCTCTCCTCCCTCGGGTTAACCTTCCGAGTTTCGAGGGGATCGAGGGACGTTTCCTGGGCACAAGATATGGTGGTCCGTAACCTGCCTCCCCTTGGGGGATGGCGCGGAAAGCGCCTCATTTTTGAAAGTCGTCCCCTCGGCGCTAGACATAGTCCGTGGCCTGCCACACCCTTGGGGTGGTGGCGCGGGGAGCGTTTCGGTTTGGAAGTCGAATCCTGGGCATTTCTCATGCCTGTCATATCCTGGGGGTAGTGACGCGGATAGCGTTCCGTTTTTGAAAGTCGAATCCTGGACATTTCTCATGCATGTCATACCCTGGGGGTAGTGACGCGGAAAGCGTTTCAAGGAAGGGTTTTCATTTGCACACTAGTTGCAAATGGCCATGGGCACTACGTGCCGCCGGCACCGATGGTGGTGCCTTCGGTATATGCGTCCTCGTGGGGTACGGCTTTTAGAAACAACACTAGGTGTTAGTTTCGATGTGTAGCCCCCGGTACTTGGTACCGAGGGGTCTTCTGTAGGAACACTTGGTGTTCTCTTTTGTTGTAGTTGATGTAGGCGTCTACCCTCGGTACTTGGTACCGAAGGGTCTCCAAATGAAACACTTGGTGTTTCCCAACAGATGTTGGAAGTTGATAGGAGAGCATATCCCTGGCACTGGGTGCCGAGGGGTCTTCTTTGAAACATTTGGTGTTTTTTTTTCTTCGTTTCGATGTTTGATGATGGAGGTGTACCCTCGGTACTGGGTGCCGAAGGGTCTTCTATAGGAACACTTGGTGTTCTCATCTTTTTCTTTTTTGATGTTGAAGGGGGGGATGTACCCTCGGCACTGGGTGCCGAAGGGAAATGAATTACATGGCGTTCTTTGTTGTTGGTGACAGGAGTTCCCTCCCTCGGTACTTGGTACCGAGGGGTCTTGAGAGAAAACATGTGGTGTTTTCACTGTTGTTGCAGGTGTCGATGGTGTCCGCCCTCGGCACTTGGTGCCGGAGGGGGTTCCTCTCGTGGTGAGGCCGGGGGCCTGTAGTCAGTATGAGGGCTTGATGTCTTGAATGTATCTTCATTCTTCGAAATTGGAGGCCTTGGGCCATAGGATAGTACATTCACTAGTTATGATGGCTTGGCCGCTCTTACATTATTGATAAAACTTAACTAAATGGTGTACATTCCAATGCCTAGGGACTTCTTTCCCGTTGGGGCGTTTGAGCTTGTAGGTCCCAGGTTTGATGATGGCTGCTATGATGTAGGGGCCTTCGAATTTTGGTGCCATTTTTCCTCCCTCGGTTGGTTGGCTGGCTTCCCTCCTCCGGAGGACATAGTCCCCCACTTGAAATTCTCAGGTGCGAACTTTGGCGTCGATGTAGCTTTTAACTTGCCTTCGGTAGTTTTCTGCCCGGATGAAGGCCTGCTCCCGGCGTTCTGAAATGAGGTGGAGGTCGAGGGCCATGTTGCTGTCGTTGACCTCGGGGTCATATTGGATCACCCTTCGGGTGGGAAGGGTGACTTCCGTAGGAGCTTTGGCTTCAAAACCGTAGCAGAGGGAGAAGGGTGTTTCACCTGTTGCTCGCCGAGGGGTGGTGCGATAGGCCCAAAGGATGTTGTGGAGTTCTTCCACCCAGCCACCACCCTCGGCCTCCAGCTTCTTTTTGAGGCCCTCGAGCAAGGTCCGGTTGGCGTTCTCTACTTGCCCGTTGCCTTGAGGGTAGGCAACGGAGGAGAAGGTGTGTTTGATGCCCCATGCCTCCAGAAGGGCACAGAAGGGGGCTGCCTCAAATTGTGTCCCATTGTCGGAGATGATCTGCTGGGGGACGCCAAACCTTGTGAGGATGTTCTTGAGGACGAAGTGACGGCACTTCGCCTCTGTGATGCTGGCGAGGGGTTCAGCCTCCACCCACTTGGTAAAATAGTCGACGGCCACAATGATGTATCTGTTGTTGGAGGTACCCCTCGGCATAGGGCCCACAAGGTCTATCCCCCATCGAGAAAATCGGACAGAGGTGCTGATGGGGGCATAGTTGACCGCTGGCCTGCCGGGAGCTTTCTGGAAATGTTGACATGCGGTGCACCTCCGGGCAAGGTCAGCACAATCCCTGGCCATGGTTGGTCAGAAGTAGCCCTGGAGAATGAGCCTTCGGGACATGGAGAAGGGTCCCTGGTGAGCTGAGCAAGTGCCACTGTGCACTTCCTCCATTGCGACCTCGGCTTCATCTGGATGAAGGCACCGAAGTAGCGTGCCATTGTAAGATCGTTTGTAGAGCCTTCCATCTTCGATGGTGTAGCTGGGAGCCCTCAGCTTTGCCAGTTTAGCGCGGGCCTCATTCTCGGGTAGCTGCCCTGTGGAGATGAAGGCGGTGATATCTGAGATCCAATCCTCCTGACGTTGTTGTATGTTCATAACGGGGCTTGCATGGATGCTTGAGAGGCTGAGTTCCTCGATTTTGGCAATTTTGGAGATGTGCTCGGGGGAGTCGGCCGAGAGCTTAGATAATATGTCGGCCTCGGAGTTCTGAGCCCTCGGTATTTGAGTAAGAGAGTGTGCCTCAAATACCTTAAGCAAATCCTTGGCCGCTTCCTTGTATTGTTTCATTCTCCCCTCCTTGGCCTCATATTCTTCGGAGATTTGGCCAACGACCAACTTGGAGTCGCATTTGATGTGGATCTGCCGAGCCCTCATGTTGGCAGCCAGCCGAAGGCCACATAGGAGGGCCTCATATTCGGCCTCATTGTTGGAGACTTTGAAGGAGAAGCGGATTGCATAGTAGGCCCTGAAGCCCTCGGGAGTAATGAGGACTACCCCTCCCCCGCATGCTTTGGTCGCGGAGGAGCCGTCAGTGTAGAGGGTCCACCAGTCGTCCGAGGTAGCCGAGGGCTCCCCGTCCGTAGCTGCCCTTGCGGTACATTCCGTCACAAAGTCCGCCAGGGCTTGGCCCTTGATGGCAGGCCTTGGACGGATGTCAATGTTGTACTGGCTCAAGAAGATAGCCCATTTCACCATGCGGGAGGAGCTGGTGGGGCTCCTCATGAGGGCGCCGAGGGGTTGCTGGGTGAGGACCTGAACTGGGTGAGCCTGAAAGTAGTGGCCCAACTTCTTGACAGTCCAAACGATGGCTAACACCGTTTTTTCCACAGGGGAGTACCTGAGCTCGGCCTCCCTTAGGGTCTTGCTAACGTAGAAGATGGCATGTTGGATGCCGTCTTCCTCCCGGATGAGCACAGAGCTGATGGCCGCCGGGCTAACCCCAAGGTAGAGGTAGAGGGTCTCCCCTACCTTGGGTTTGGAGAGCATAGGAGGTGAAGATAGATATCGTTTGAGCTCGTCGAAAGCCCCCTGACATTCTGGAGTCCATAGAAAGCCAGCCGTCTTCCTCATGATCTGGAAGAAGGGTAGAGACTTCTCCGCCGATTTAGATAGAAAGCGGTTGAGGGCTGCCAGGCGGCCCGTCAACCGTTGATGGCTTAATAGAGAGGAGCATGGCGACCTCCTTCTTCACAAATTCCCTCCTCTCGGCGGAGAGGGGTCTTCTTCGTTGCTGCACTGCCTTTGCCGAAGGGTCCACCGAGAGGTGGTGGGTGATGACCCTTCGGCTGATTCCCGGCATGTCCTCCGGCCCCCATGCAAAGACAGTGGAGTAGGCGCGGAGGGCGTCGGTGATACCGGTCTTCAAATCTTCAGGGAGCTGGGCTCCAATCTTCACGACTCTCTCCGGCTGGGCCGAATCGAGCGCAAAGTCTTCTACGTCCTCGGCTGGTTCAGCCCTCGGCCTTCTTTCCTCTTGGTCGATGGTTCCGGTGATGATGTCAACACGGAATTCCGTCTTGCTTACCTTCTTAGTGACCTGAAGATAGCAGGCGCGGGCAATTTTCTGGTTGCCCCGGGAGTAGCCAATCCCCCCCTCGGCGGGAAACATGAGGCATAGATGCCTCATGGAGATGATGGCTTCGAGGTCCTCGAGGGCTGGCCGGCCGAGGATGATGTTGTGGGCGCAGTCAATGTTGACGACGACGAACTCCACCTCGAGCTGGGCTCTATGGAGCCCGTCGCCGAAGATCACCGGGAGGGTTATTACCCCCTCGGAATCAATAGTGTCGCCGGTGAAGCCGGCAAGAGGGGTCTTAATGGGCCGAAGGGACCCCCTCTCCAGATGCAGCTCTCTGAAGGTGCTGAGGTACATTACATCGACGGAGCTGCCCGTGTCAATGTAAGTTCGGTGAATAATGGTGTCGTTTATCTCCGTCCGAATCACCAAGGCATCCCTGTGAGGAGAAGAAGTAGGAGGGAGATCTGCGTTGGTGAAGGTGATGGGTTCCTCCCTCAGTCGCTTTACCGGAGGCATATGAGTGACTTCCCCCACGTAAAGCGATTGAGCCCACTTCTTTCGTTGGCTGGTGGAATCGCCCCCTGTATTGCCACCGGTGATCATGAGGATGTGGCGTTTTTTCTCCTGGTAGTGGGGGTATTCCTCCTCCTCTTCTTCCAAGTTCCCAATCTCCCTTTTCTTGCCGAGGGGGATGGTATTTGGGTTTACCCAAGCGTTCACCTTCGTGTGGTGCCCTCGGGGAGGCCCCTGATGAGAAGGTCCCTCCTGCCGAGGGCTCTGAACAAATTGGGACAGGTGCCCTGCTTGTATTAACCTCTCGATGGCCGTCTTTAGCTGATGGCAGTCATCGGTCCTGTGCCCCTGGTGCCGATGGAAGCGACAGTAGGGGAACTGAGGGTTGATAGCGTGTACCTCCGGGGGTGCGCGAGAGTCGCGCTCAACGAGGCCCCTCTCCTCGGCAAAATCGAGGATGATGCTGACGGGGTGCGTCAATGGTGTCCGAGGGCGGTCCAGGAGAATGGGCTGGGCCCAAGTCTTAGGGTTGCTCTTATAACCTCCCCCGGGCTTGGCTTGGCCTTGCCGAGGGCGGTCATCAGAGGGTCCCGAAGCCTTGGGGTGATTGGGAGGAGCCCCCGGCCCCCGGTTATGCTTGTTGTCAGCCCTCGGGGGCTGCTGGTCCGGATGCTGGTGATACTTCTCCACCTCCTCGGCCTCAGCATATCGGTCCCCCCGCTGCAAAGCCCTTATGTAGTCGCGGGGGGGGTTCAATGATGAGGCTCCTTGAAAAGTTGCCGGTGCGGAGGACGGTTTGTAGGAGGGCCAGGAGGGTCCCGTCATCAGCACCGTCGACCTTGTCGGCCTCCGTCCTCCAGCGCTCTAGGAAGTCCCGAAGGGTCTCATCCCTCTTTTGGCGTATTGTTAGAAGGTGGGAGAAGTGCTTCCTTGTGCGACGCCTCCCGGAAAATTGTGTCAAGAACCGCTGGGCGAGTTCTTGCCATGAATCAATACAGCCCTCGGGCAGCCTGTTGAACCATTCGTATGCCGGGCCCTCTAAGGTGGAGAGGAACCAACGACACAAATATTCGTCCGACGCCCCTACCATCATCATGCTGTTCTGGTACTTGCTGTAATGTTCCTGGGGGTCCGTTTTTCCGTTGTAGGGCTGTATATGTTGCCCTCGGTATTTTTCCGGGATCCGGGCCGCCAAAACCCTTGGAGTAAATGGCGTCCGAGTCCGGAGCTGGATGACGGGTTCCCCGGAGCCCTCGGCCACCTTCTTCTGTAACTCCTCTATTTTGGCCATCATGGCCTCGTATTTGAGATCTGAATGAGGGGTGGAGGTGGTGGCGTGAGCTTTGTTGGACTCCATCTCGTCAAGCCGGCGTTGGAGGGCCGCAATAATCTCGTCCCGGGGATCCTTCGGGAGGGTCTCCGCCTCCTGCGAACGAACCCGGGCCGAGTGGGCCTGGTTGATTTTGTGCCGAGCATCATCGGCATGAAGGGGTGCCTTGCCTTTATCCCGAGGGGGACGCTCCTCGTCTGCCCTCGAAACAGATCCCCCGCTTTCCTGGGGCCTTTGGAGTGCTTTCCCCCCGAGGTGGTCTTGGACCCCTCGGCGGTCTGGCCCTCCTCCGAGCCGGTTGAGGGCGGAAGTACGGGGCCTTTCCCTGTTGTCATTATGGCGGTCCCGGGACTGAACTTCCTGGGAGGACGTATCTTGGGCCACCACCCCTTCGTCGTTTCTCACCCGAGGGGTGGGATTTCCGAAGGGGTGTGGCAGAGGGGGAAGTATGATATTTTCCCCGATCTGAGGGTGAGCTGGAGCCAGGGTGCCGAAGGCACCCGGGTTCTGGGTGAGCGTCTGGATGAAGGCGGAGAGCGCCGATTGCACGTCGATGGTGAGAACCGGAGGGCTGACTTGATCATCGCTCCGGTTTTTCTTCTTGGCCTCGATGCCGAGGCGGGCATTGGGGGCATTTTGTTGGATCTGAAGGCGTAGGTCGACAGCCGCCTGTTCCAGCCCAGCGATGACACCGCCCTCGGGAGCCCTGTGAGAGGCTTCGGGGGCGTTGACGTCGCCGAGGGCCAGGTTCTTGTCTTCTACGTTCTTTGAGTTGGCACGTGTTGTCCTCACCATTTTGATAGAGGGCTAGTGTTTTGTCTTTGGTCGAGGGGGAGGGTTTCTTACTCGATTGTTCGAGCTCTCAACGAGAGCACCAAATGATGGATAGTCTACCCGGGGGTATATATCCGAAGGGTTATTACGGGGAATAACTTAGAGAGAAGTCAGAGCAAGTAAGTAAAAGTAGAGAGAGAGTGTATTCAATATGAATGCCGTTTTCAGCGTGGTTATAAATGGGGAAATGGGGTGCTATTTATAGTAGCAATAAATGTCGGGCAGGGACACGTGTCAAGCGCTCATTGGCCGAGGGGTCACCTCAACTGGTTGGCGCTGGCAGCCGCACGTGGCTGCATTTAATGCGGCTGTTGGACGGGACGTCTGTGCGGGGTACGGTGATCTGTACGCATGTGAGGCGGATATCTTGTCGAGTGAGATGCCTTCAGCTATAGAGCAGTAGCCGAGGGCTCTTCCACCCGATGGCACCCTGGTGCCGAGGGCTCACAGTGCCGAGGGCTACTGTTTTCGCCGTTTTCTCCCAGTTTCTTAATTTGCTTGAGAAACCCGTTCTGTGAGAATTTAGAGCCTTCGGCCAGGGGGCCGAAGGCACCCCTGGCGCGTAGTGCGGGCTGCTTGGTACTCCGGGCGCTGTGATTTGGGCCTGCTGGGCCTGTTGGGCCTTCGCTGGAGTAGTAGGAGTCTGTGGGCCGGGGGTTCCCGGGCCATGTACTCCATCACTATCATTAGTTGAGCAATTATCTACTGTAATAGTAGATAATCTAGAGTCCGGATTCCACTCCATCAATGCCTCAATCATTACCTCTGTTAACGCTTCGCTTGTATGTGGGCAAGACACATATATGAACCTAAATATAAATGATAACAACAATCAACTATACAATGACGCGTAATATCAAATCAATTACTCCAATTAGATATATAATATCAAAACAAATCCCAGCTACAAAGACATGATATAAAAACCAGCAACTTTAACTACACAAAATTTTACTATTTGTTTATAAAATAGTGTAGTGTGTGTACCTTAAGATTTGATTAAGTAAAACCCAAGATTTATCAATGAAATGGGCTGTGATTGTCATGAATCCCCTCTTTTGATTGGTTGAAGTTCACATGTCAGTAGTAACAGCCACCCTACAATCATTACCTTCTAATAAATTCAGAACTTTGCATCTTTCTTCTGCATAAACCTTCAAAATGTCACTTTTGAAGGTATTGCGTGAAGGACATTTGAAAAGAGGCTGAATGGTGCTTGTGAATTCTCTAAATCCTCTATGTTCGACTATGGAAAGAGAATATTCGTGCAAGATGACCATCTTGACTAGTGTGATTCTCCCTTCTCCCTCATTATAAGACGTGTGACAAACATCCCCTTTCGAATTGGTCTTTAAGACCATTTGTTTTATATCTCCACCTCTTTTCCTTCTTGTACATTGGTTAACGTGCTCCTTCAAATGACTAGTACCATTCTTTGGATCACCTCCCAGTAACTTTTTGCACTCTTGGCATTTCACCTTTTTAATGTTATTTACCTCAACCTCGTCAAAGTAATCCCACCATTTGCTTAATTCTTTTCTTTCGTTGTTCCCCAACCATATGATATGCTTGATCTTTTGAAGCAGTCACTTCTTTAGACTCGTCACGGGTAGATGAACCAACCGGTACACATTGATTTGTTGGTGCACCACTAATACCTATTGAATCTTGGGTGCTAGCACTTTGGGATGCCAGAGCCTATCAATAAAAGTATATATAAGTGCAGAACAACATCAAATATGGAAAATAATATTATTAGTGCAAAACATATTAGAGCAACTTAGACAAAAAAAATGTTTATGTCATACCAAAATGGGCGGACAGAATCGCAGAATGTAGTAATCCAATTTGTTGAACTATACTATAGTCATTAACTAGGAGAACATGTGAATCCTAATAGTATTACTTTTTTAGATTCAACACAAAATGAAATACATATCATTTAGAGGAATTAATCAAAGCAATCATGGTTAATCAAAACAATCGTGGTTAATAAAACCAATTGTAGTAGCTCTAATAGACCAACTAGTAAAAACTAATTATAGGAATTTATACATTTTTACATAGAAAATAGAGCAATGCTTAGTAATTTTTATCCTCTTTAATTATTTACATAAAAATTACAGCAACTACACAAACTAATCAAAACTAAAGTGAAACTAAAACTAAACTAATCATTTACACAGAAAATTATAGCAACTACACAAACTAATCAAAGCTAAAACTGAAACTCAAGCTAAAGTAATTATTTACAAAGGGTAATTACTAGATGAGTAGAGCTAGTGAGCTAGAAAGTAAAATAACCCAATAACAATAGGTAACTTACGAGTGACTGAAACGGAAAGTTAGATAATTATTCAATCTTATACGGAGTACAACACAACACGTAAGATGAAGGAGTAGGGAAATTAGCTTTACCTCTTATAGATGAAGAAGATTTGGTGATGACTGATGAAGAAGAACTGAAGAACAAAACATATTAGCCGTCGATAGCGAAGATAATTGATGAAGAGGTCGGAACTTTGAACAGTTAATAGCGAAGATAGGAGGTTATGCTCTCGACTTCTACGGAGCGTCGATAGCGAAGATAATTGATGACTGATGGGAACAGCCCACTCCTCTTCTCCTATAAGTGATACGTACACTGATACGGGGTATTTTTAAAATATACTAGTACATGTTATATGTGAAATACATACATAAATATATTAAATATATTAAATATATGATATGTAATATATGTACGGGTCATGTAACGGTGCGGGTAACTGTACCCGAACTAAATGGTGCGGTTACGGGGCGGGTAACGAGGCAGGTTGCTATAAATCTGTATCCGCCTCATTACCCGTTTAATAAATCGGGTATTCCCCGTACCCGTACCTGTTACCCAGTCAACACGATTTTCCCTGTTTTAAGCGGTTCAATTCAGTGCGGGTATCCATCGGGTCGGATTAATATGCCATCTCTAAAGAAAGTTTTCCAAATGATGATGAAGATTTTGAATATGACTATGGCCAAACACCACCCACCCCTACTCATGATGATGATCAGGGCAATGGAGACCGTAAAGATGATTTAGTCCTTGATGAATTTTGAGAACTTAGCAGTTTGATCTTTACATTGCTTATTTGAGATTGTTGAGATATATTACCCTGGCCTACAACTATTCAGGAGCCCAAGACGTTAGTTAGCGCGAAGCCCGATCAGTGAGGTCCATTTAGGCCTATCAGACCCGTATCGGCCCATCATGCATGGCCCATTTGGCCCATTAGAGTGGAATACCCCCCCCCCCCCCCCCCCCTCCCTCTATAAATAGGACGATTTCCCTCCTAATAAAGGATCCCTTCTCTTCCGCTCCCTCTCTCTATATAGCTAGTCTAATTACTCCATTAATGGAAGCTTGTATAATGTATTGGTGAGGAGAGCATTAATAAAATTAGCGAGCTTAGACATTACTCATTAGCCTAAACAATCCCATGATTTTCTCCCATCCAGGTTTCCACGTAAAAACAGAGTGTTCATACCAAATTATACCTATATTTATTATATCGTGTTGGATTAAACTCAACACTGGCGCCGTCTGTAGGAATCAGTTCAAAAAGATTCATATGTTCTTGATGTTCTACAAAAAATTCATACGAAATGAACTGATTTTTAGTGAAAAGAAAAACAGAAAATGATTCTGGGAAATAATGATCAAGCTACGCCGTAGCTGCTACGGGGCCTTGAAGTCCAAGTCTGGATTTTTTCCAGATCTAAGTTGGGGTCGCCGGAGCTGCCATCACCCTTCCCACCACAGTGAGGCCTCCGGTGGGTTCAGCTGCACCAGATGGAGACCGCGACAGCATCCCAGATCTTGTCAACTCGACTCTAGGAGAACTCCATCGCAAAAGCCTTGTTAATCTGTCAAAGCTGGGTCCTCCGGCTGAAACGCGGCACCACCATTCGTCGCCGATGTGAACCGGTGGTCACTCCTCCGCCAGGTGAGTCGCTGCTCGGCCCGAACATCTGTTGACGCGACTGGGGGGATTTTCTGTTGGGATTTGATTCAAAATATATACTCCATATTATTTGCAGCTTGAGTTTATTATTCTAGTAAGATTGAGTCAAAGTGTCGGTTGGAGTATTTTTAGGAGCAATTAAGTAAGTGGGTGTGTGGTTCAATTTTATTAGGGAAGTTGTTGTTTACTTAGTGGGATATGATCCTACTTTAACGTGAAGTTTGTTTCAGTTTTAGTAGTATAAAAGCATGGATGTAATCTTTATTTAGTTAAGTGCAGAAAATTGAAATCTATTGCAGACCTATTCTCGTGTCTCTGTCCATCCATTACTCTGTTATTTTCCTAACATTTGTGGTATCAGAGCTTTTGCAATACCAGGTCTCGATCCTCACTTCAAAACAAACCTTGCAGCAGGCCACAAAAACCCAAAAACCAATTGAGTGAGAGCAACACAAAAATCCAATCACAAGTGAAAGCATTCAGTCAAATGGCATCAAACAACAGTTCTTCTCAATCCCTAATACCCAATTTTAAGGGCCAAAATTACCAATTTTGGAGCCTCAAAATGCAAACTTTATTCAAGTCTCAAGAGCTTTGGGATTTAATGGAGAATGGGTATGCAGAACCCCGAGGAAATCAGGCCATAGAACCTGATGCGCAGCTACGCGACAACCGCAAGAAGGACGCGAAAGCTTTACGTACTTTACATCCAAATGGCTCTTGATGACACTATCTTTCCTAGAATCGCAGCAGCGAAAACTTCAAAGGAGGCATGGGAAACCTTGAAGCAGGAGTATTTGGGTGATGAGAAGGTGATTCAAGTAAAGTTGCAAACTCTTCGTCGTGATTTTGAATTGTTAGCAATGAAAAGTGATGAGTCCGTGCAAAACTATATCTCCAGAGTGACGGGCATTGTTAATGATATGAAAACCTATGGTGAGGTTGTTACTAACCGCACGATTGTGAGCAAAGTTCTGAGGACTCTACCTCCCAAATTTTATCATGTTGTTGCTGCCATTGAAGAATCAAAGGACCTGTCAACCTATCTCTTTGAGGATTTATCGAGTTATTTATTGGCTCATGAGCATAGGATAAACGGGTCTAACGAGACAGTAGAGGAAAAAGTCTTCCACGTGAAGGGGGAGTCTTCACACAAGGTAAATGTAGATTACTCGGGTGGACGAGGCAATGGTAGGGGTGGTTTTCGTGGCCGTGGGCGTGGCAGAGGCAGAGGACGAGGACGTTTTGATGAAGGGAGGCAAAACAAAAGTGCAATTCAATGCTACCATTGCAAGAAGTATGGGCACAAAGAGGCGGACTGCTGGAGTAAGCAGAAGGGTGAACCGAAGGCTAATTTTGCAGAAAATATAGAGGAAGAAAGCAAGTTATTCACGACTCATTCTTGTGCAACTGATGTCACTAATAGTGTGTGGTTTGTTGATAGCGGTTGCTCAAACCACATGACCGGTTCAAATACCTTATTCAAGGATCTTGATGAGACACAAGCAAGTCCAGGTTGCAGGAAAGGGCACCGTGGCAATAAAAACTATTCAAGGTGATGTCAAACTTCTTCATAATGTGCAATTTGTGCCTAGTTTAGCTCATAATCTGCTAAGTGTTGGTCAGTTAATGAGTAGCGGATACTCTCTTGTGTTTAACAATGATACATGTGTTATTAGCGATAACAAGTCAGGGCAGATTATAGCTAATATTGATAAGTCCCCAAATAATATGTTCTCAATACTATGGCATTTACGTTATGGTCACTTGCATATGAAAGGGCTTAAACTGTTAAATCAAAAGGAGATGGTGATAGGTTTATCAAAAATTACTGAACAGTTGTTTTGTGAAGGGTGTGTATATGGAAAGCAATGTAGGATGCCTTTTCCCAGTGGGAAGGCATGGAGGGCTTCTAGCTCTCTGGATCTTGTGCATGCTAATTTGTGCGGGCCTATGAAAACGCAGTCAATAGGTGGGAGTCGCTACATCTTATTGTTTTTTGATGATTATACTCGGATGAGCTGGGTATATTTCTTGAAGTTAAAATCTGAGACTTTTGATAGCTTTAAGAAGTTCAAGGCTTTGGTGGAGAACCAAAGTGGGAAGCACATCAAGACACTTCGCACAGATCGTGGTGGTGAATTCTTATCTAATGAGTTCACTTCTTCTTGTGATGAGCATGGTATTCACAGGGAGCTGACAGCACCATATACACCACAACAAAACGGCGTTGTGGTGCGTAAAAACAGAACCATAGTTGAGATGGCTCGAAGTATGTTGAAAGCAAAGGGGCTACCAGACAGGTTTTGGGGTCAAGCTGTAGCAACGACAGTGTACCTTCTGAACATATCTCCTACAAAATCTGTCATGAATCAGACTCCCTTTGAAGCCTGGAGAGGTAAGAAACCACGGGTAAGCCACTTAAGAGTCTTTGGTTGTATAGCGTATGCTTTGGTTCCTTCTCAGTTACGTCACAAACTTGATAGTAAATCTGAAAAATGCATATTCATTGGCTATAGTGTTGAATCCAAAGCATACATGCTATATAATCCTGTGAGTGGCAAAGTGATTGTAAGCAGGGACATCAAATTCGATGAAGGTGGAAAGTGGTCGTGGAGTGGTGATAACCAGAAAGAGGTTGCTGTTGAAACCATTGAGTTTAGTGAATCTACAGAATCAGAATGTGCCAACGAGCAACATGAAAGAAGCAGCAGTTCAGGGAGCAGTAGTACCCCTTCGACTCCACCTAGCAGCCCATCTCCTCATGTTAACGGTCAGTCTTCATCAGGTGGGAATTCAACTGGGAGCAGCTCTGTAGCGTCATCATATTCTCCAGAAAACTCCTCCAGTGGCACCCCTCCAAAACACTTCCGGTCCCTTCAGGATGTATATCGGACATGTAACTTTGCATTATGTGTCTCAGATCCTGTGTCTTATGAAGAGGCAGCAGAAGAAGAAATATGGCAAAAGGCAATGCAAGATGAGATGGCAGCTATCGAAAAGAACGATACATGGCAGTTGGTTGATCCACCAAAAGACAAGAACATAATAGGGCTCAAGTGGGTGTTCCGCACAAAGTATAATTCTGACGTGAGTGTTCAAAAGCACAAAGCGAGGCTCGTAGCTAAGGGGTATTCACAGCAGCAAGGGGTAGATTACGAGGAAACTTTTTCACCCGTTGCCCGATTCGAAACAGTAAGAGTCTTTCTTTGTGTAGTAGCTCAGTTTAAATTACCAGTATTTCAACTCGATGTGAAGTCTGCTTTTCTTAACGGTGAGTTAGAAGAGGAGGTGTACGTCTCTCAGCCCGAGGGTTTTGCAGTTCATTGTGAAGAAGAAAAAGTTTATAGGCTGCGAAAAGCACTTTACGGGCTAAAACAGGCTCCACGCGCGTGGTATAGCAAGATTGATGATTTTTTTCAGTCCAAGGGATTCAGAAAGAGTAAGAATGAGCCAACTCTTTATGTAACGTAGAATGGAAACCATTTTTTGGTGGTTTGTCTTTATTTCGATGACATAATTTATATGGGTTCATCTCAGTCCATGGTTGATGACTTTAAGTCTAGTATGATGGAAAAATTTGAGATGACTGATTTGGGTGTGTTGAAGTATTTTTTGGGGCTTGAGGTGACACAAAGGGAAGACGGCATTTTTATATCTCAGGAGAAGTATGCTACTGATCTGCTAAAAAAAATTCACATGTCCGAGTGCGAGGCAGCAACTACACCTATGAACATCAATGAGAAGTTGCAGTGTAATGATGGAACTAAGCATGCTGATGGCAGAATGTACAGGAGTCTTGTGGGAGGATTAAACTATCTCACACACACTAGGCCGGATATCTCTTTTCCTGTCAGTGTTGTGTCTCGATACATGCATAATCCAACTAAGCAACACCTTGGTGCCGCAAAAAGAATCCTCCTATATGTGGCTGGAACTGTGAAGTATGGGGTTTGGTATACAAAAGTTGCAGACTTTCAGCTTGTTGGGTTTACCGATAGTGATTGGGCAGGATGTCTAGATGACTGAAAGAGTACCTCTGGTAATGTCTTCAGCCTTGGTTCCGGGGCTGTAACATGGAGCTCGAAGAAGCATGAGACGGTAGCTTTATCATCATCCGAAGCAGAATACGTAGCAGCGACTTCAGCAGCAAGACAAAGTTTATGGCTGCAAAAATTACTTGGTGATTTTCTTATTGAGCTGGAGAAAGCTACTACTATTTATTGTGATAATAAATCAGCAATTGCAATGACGAAAAATCCAGCTTTCCATAGCAGGACAAAGCATATAGATGTGCAACACCACTTCATTCGTGATTTAGTAGCTGACGGGAAGATTAATCTGAAGTTCTGTGGTACAAATGAGCAGGTTGCAGACATCTTTACAAAGTCACTTCCTCAAGCCAAGCACCGGTTCTTTGTGTCTCAGTTAGGAGTGGATGTTTTTGAATCAAGGAGGAGTGTTGGGATTTGATTCAAAATATATACTCCGTATTATTTGCAGCTTGAGTTTATTATTCTAGTAAGATTGAGTCAAAGTGTCGGTTGGAGTATTTTTAGGAGCAATTAAGTTAGTGGGTGTGTGGTTCAATTTTATTAGGGAAGTTGTTGTTTACTTAGTGGGATATGATCCTACTTTAACGTGAAGTTTGTTTCAGTTTTAGTAGTATAAAGGGGTATTTGGATCCGATTCTTAAAATTGCTTCTGCTCCTTCAGGGAGCAGAAGTTGGAGTGTTTGGGTGAAAATGTAGAAATGATTCTGGTGTTCTAATTTACTCCTAGAATCAGTTTTTTAGAAGTTGGGGGTATCAACTTCTGAAAACTGATTCTGTTTCTGCTTCTGCTTTAAAAAAGAAGCAGAAGTAGAATCAGAAAATTGAAATTTATTGTAGACCTATTCTCGTGTCTCTGTCCATCCATTACTATGTTATTTTCCTCACATTTTCTGGCTGAGAGTTCCTCGTTTTCCGCCATTAATGATGTTTTGGAGCTCAAGAAAGGGACATTTTGAAACTCCGCCGGATCCCCACCAAAAACCAGCCCCTGTAGCCGTCCTTGCTCCGCTGCAACCGCCCGTGCCGCCGTCGGTAAGTGGCCAGCGCAGACAGTTTGGCCTTGGATCAGTAAACGGGTGTTTCAACTCTCTTTCCAAAAGATAAGGATACTTTATGTCGATCTGAGACCTTGGTTCTCAAGGGGCCACGTCCCTAGGAAAATCAAAAGGAATCAACTCAATCAAGCACTCAATTCAGAAGGGACATGCTCCTCCATTATTTGGCAGTCAACGAAAGGCTCTCAACCCAGTTGACAACTTCAAAGAAAAAGCTAAGTACCCGTGCTTTAGATTGGTGCATTTAATTTTTACTCCGTAATAGTTTGGATTGCTATTCTTACTATTACTCCCTCCCTTCAATACTTTGTCATGTTTGACCGACACGAGAAATAATAAAGTAAAAACTATGTGGTTGAGATATGTGCAGAGGAGAGAGAAATGATAGGAACCACAAATTCATTGATTAAAAGGGAAAGTGGTAAAGTTTTTGGGACATCCAAAAAAGGAAAGATGACAAAATTATAAGGGACGGAGAGAGTATTTGTTATCACCAGCGATTAATAAAGATTAAAATATCCCCAAAGTAAGTAGTACCGAGCAAAGCTCTAGCGATAAATGTCCACCGTCATTTTAATTAAATGGCTGTGTTGGTGGGCTCGTGGGCCAACCCCGGTCGACCTTAATAAGCGATCAGAGCGTATTTGAATGGCCTATAGGATAAGTATAATTACTATTGCCTCTCATATAACTATTATTTATTAGGGATTAAAAGATCCCGAAATTAAAAATTGTCGAGCACAGCTCCAATGATAGGTTATTCCATCATCATTTTGATGTAATGACTATTTTTAAATGGCCCATCGGCCCACTCCTGATCGGCTTTCATTAGCCGTTGGAGCATCTTCGGTGGCATTGCCCCAATGACGCGTTTCTTTTAGGGTACACACTGTCACACCCCGGACCTACCCGGACACGTCAACAACCCGCCGTACAGTACGAATAGTCAACCGCAGTCCAACTCATCCATACTATACAAGGCGCCTTGAATACTATTCACACATAGTACATCCATAAACAAGCATAATGTAAATCATTCATTTAAAACAGCGGAAGCATTTAATAAAGATGTCTTAGCCACACTTTGGCAAACATGGACATACAAGCCCCCAAATAGTTATTCAAAAATAGTATCCATGAGCATTGTTATAATTGTTTTGAAAACAGGAAACAGAAGAAGCACGAACCACGTCTTCTCCCTTGGAAATCCCTGAAGCAACGGGCGCCGGTAGCAACCTTCAAGTCCTACCTGAAACTGTGAGGTAGCCTCCCCCGTGAAGGGGAAGTCAGTACTTGGAAATATTTGACAAGTACAATAGCAACTATACTAAGTATAATCAACGTTTTAATTTCCAAGACCCCCGTCTTAGGGTACTATTATATTATAGGCCATAAGCCTCGGTTACCCCTTTTTACCTTTAACTGTACTTACTTTACATAAAGTCAAGTAGACGGCCCGTAGGCCCATATTCATTTAGAATTCACCGTTCCCATTCCCCCGTGACCGCGAGTCACGATAACCCCGTGGGGTCCCATCGAGCCCCAATTGTATTGCATGGGCTCGGCCCAACTACATCTCTATACAATCCTCTAACTCGATGTATCATATCAACATTTGTATGGCAAGGGCTCGGCCCAACTACGTTTCCATACCAACCATAACTTCGTGGCAAGAGCTCGGCCCAACTACGTTTCCACGGAGGTCACATATACATGGCAAGGGCTCGGCCCAACTACGTTTCCATGCTAATCATATTACATGGCATGGGCTCGGCCCAACTACATCTCCATGTCATCCTAGAGTCCAACTCTATTTATTTTCATAATCAAATTCTCAAGCAAGTCCTATGCCTAGAATCAATTTCCGGAGGTGGCCTTTAGGCCTACGCCTAATCTCTCCTTAGTGTTCATGTCATTCATCCTTAAGTATCTCTTGAGACTACTTAAGGCATATCTATCCACAATCCTACCTCTTAGGATTTATTTCATCATTTATTTATATTAATTCCCCGACTAGTATTTTGATACTAATAGGATAACCTTAGAACATGCCAAGTTCCTATTCCCCATATTGCATTTCATTTCCATTGATTTCTCAACCCAAGTATAGTTTAATCTCAATATCAAAAATATCACTTTAATCCATTCATGAAGTTCATACATGAAGTAAAGGATATTTTATCACAATGTCATCTTAGTAATTCCATTAACATGCCATTCCATTTATTTCACATAATCATACACAATTATTCTAAATTTGTATGTCATGCTTCACTTACTCATTTTCATATTATTTTCATTTAGACATTATTAATCTTTAATAGTCCATGAAAATCCCATCTAATTACTTTAGGCATTCTTATGAAATTAACTCACTAATTATAAGCAATATAGTCAGCCATCCTCACCTCGTGATGTGCTACAATAGTTGCCTTTGTTACGCCCCTCGATCAATCCCCGTTCTAGGCCGATTGAAAGGCAGAACTGGACTGCCTGGGCAAAAGCCGGGCGGCTTTCGTGGTCTGCAACTGCGACTAGCTCCTTTGAAGTGGTGGTTTCCGGCGATTTCGACTCCTATCGATTTGCCAACCCTCCTAAGTTAATTACCACCACTTTATATCAATATTCTACACTTTTAAACGTGTAGAACTCATGGTTTAATCCACCATATGATTTCTTAAAAATCATACAATAATAAAACTAGTTAAAGATTGTTTATTGAGTTCTTACCTCAAAAACAACCCTCTTCTCTTTGGATTCTCTTCCTTGCTGCTTGGACTATGAAAGGAGGCTTCCCTAGAGCTTCTCTCTTTGCCTTGGCCGAGTGGATGAGTGAGGAAATGGTAGGATAAGTGATCAACACCATCCACCTAAGTCAACCCACAAAATAAGGGAGTAGGGTAATGGTGGGTATGGGTTTTGTCTCTTGGAGACTTCCCACCTACTAGGTACACCCCCTCCAGCTGCTTCCTTGTCATTTGCAGCACATTGGGTCGTGGGGTGGCCCCCACTCATGTGGGAGGTCATCCCCTTATGCCCCGATGTGTATAATCGGCCCCGAAAGTTGTATTTTTCGGACTGTTTTAGTCATATTTTATTTTATCGGACCGGATAAAATATATCACGCGTTCCCAATAATTATGGGCATTTAGAATGGATGTATATTCCCCAACATTAATTTAGGAGTCTCCGAAACTCATTTCGGGCTGTTATCCGTTAAATTGCCAATACCGGTAATTGGGCCCCGTTTGACCAACCGGTCAACGCCATGCCTTTCTTATGGCCCAAATAAGATATATACCACTATATACATATTATCCAGACCAAGATGAATATAATATGTGGTTCGGGAATTATCGGGCGGTCCACATTCCCGCTGTGGGCCCCACATGCAATTTACTATTCACGTAAAAGAAATAATAAAAATTTACAATTACGCAAATTCATCAATCATCTTTAGAGGTTTATTACATAATTTACTAAAAGTAAATATGCTCGGGGTCGGTGTTACACACACGATCCCACACGGCACCAAGTGCTCGGCCGACGATCGTACCCCAATACCATTTACGCCGCTAGGTGCGAGGTGATTGTTTGCCAATCGCGGCCCATGGGGCCTAAGGGCACCGAGGCGCTTAACTTTTAGGAGGGAATGCACCTGACGTGGGGTTGAATTTACAATCTCACGGGCCGATGATTGTTTCTATGTGACGTCCGGCAAGCCACAAATGGCCCTGCTATGGACAACTATGCCCAGGAACCCCGCACGATGAGTCGGGCCGAAGGTCATGATAACCTGTAGACCGGTAATAGAAAACGTTAAAAAAAGAGAAAGGTGTGCACATAGGTATTTATACGTATTTGTACATCGTTGGGCCATGCGGCCCTGTTACCATGCTTATTTTGCAGTTGAAGCCGCTCGATGTGTTCGAACAAAGCAGTTAAATGATGCTCGACATGAATCCCGAAGACATTCAAGGCCGGCTAAAAAAGAGAAATCACAAATCGCACGTGGACCATAATGCCGAATGATGACCAGCCCCCCAACGCAACGTGTTTATCTCTCGAAGACTAGATTCCTCCTTGCCTCGCGCGGATGACGACCGTTTCAAAAATATTTGTGGATTCGGCCTTTCAATGCTGACGTCCTTATATCATGACCAACCTTTTGAAACGGCGTGCTCCCCTACTTGAAGACCGGCCTTGTCCCCGCTCCTCGCGGATGAGGACCGTTGATTGATTCTTTCAGATCGGCCCCTAGTGCCGACATCATCATATGGCCACCGACCCCCTGTTACGGTGCCATCGTCATATTTGAAGACCGGCCTTGTCCCCGCTCCTCACGAATGAGGACCATTGATTGATTCTTTCAGATCAGCCCCCACTGCTGACATCATCATATGGCCATCGACCCCCTGGTACGGTGCCATTATCATATTTGAAGATCAGCAGCGTCCCCGACATCATCTATATATATAGAGGGGCACCAGGGAATCCCCAAAGGGGATAAACCCGTTCCTCACCGACTACGACGACTTAGTTCAGCTCAGGATCCAAAGGACCGGGCTAAAGGGCGAGTACGACGAGCGGATGATGGAATGAAGAACTGGCCTCGTCCCCGCTCCTTGTAGATGAGGGTCGTTGATTGATTCTTTCAGATCGGCCCCTAGTGCCGACACCTTTATATAGCCACCGCCCCCCTAGTACGATGCCATCATCATATTCAAAGACCCCTAAAAAAGAAAAAGAAAAAAGGAAAATATATAGAGGGGCACCGGGGAATCCTCAAAAGGATAAACTCGTTTCCCATCAAAATTGCGGCCTAGCTCAGCTCAAGATCCAAAGGACCGGGCCTAAGAGCGGGTACGACGAGCGGATAGACGAAACGAAGAATTGGGGAATCCCCAAGGGGATAAACCCGTTTCCCATCAAAATCGTGGTCGAGCTCAGCTTAGGACCCAAAAGACCGGGCCCAAGAGCAGGTACGCTGAGCGGGTGGCGAAACGAAGAAAAAGCCAAAAAAAAAAAAATAAAGGGCGGGGGAATCCCCAAAGGGGATAAACCCGTTCCTCACCGACTACGACGACCGAGCTCAGCTCAGGATCCAAAGGATCGGGTTAAAGGCGGGTACGACTAGCAGATGATGGAATGAAATCTTATGCCACATGATCGGCCCCTCACAGACTACGACGGCCTAGCTCACCTCAGGATCCAAAGGACCGGGCTAAAGGACAGGTACGACGAGCAGATGAGGATCACAATCTTATGCCGCACGATCAGCCCCTCACAGACTACGACGACCTAGCTTAGCTCAGGATCCAAAGGACCGGACTAAAAGGTAGGTACGACGAGCAGATGAGGACCACTATCTTATGCCGCACGATCGGCCCCTCAGTGACTACGACGGCCTAGCTCAGCTCAGGATCCAAAGGACCGGGCTAAAGGGCATGTACGACGAGCAGAAGAGGACCACTATCTTATGCCGCACGATCGGCCCCTCACAGACTACGACGGCCTAAGCTCAGCTCAGGATCCAAAGGACCGAGCTAAAAGGCAGGTATGACGAGCAGATTCGCACGCTCACTACTCAAGAAACTGAGGGACTTGTGTTGAGATATATTACCCTGGCCTACCACTGTTTAGGAGCCCAAGACGTTACTTAGCGCGAAACCCGATCAGTGAGGTCCATTTAGGCTTATCGGGCCCGTATCGGCCCATCTTGGCCCATTTGGCCCATTAGGGTGGAATACCCCCCCCATTATAAAGTCCTTACTGGTTCAGTGTTTCAATGGATTGACTTTATTTGGAAATTCAAATTTAATTACACATGTACCAAAGTATAATATTTAAGGTTTTGTTTAATTTGGAGGCCCCCTAAAACTTGGGGCCCTAGACATTTGCCTAGGTCAAGTGGCCCCATGGCCGACCCTGTCTGCACTCCCATAATATCCTCTCTCTTTTCCTATGTCCGCTTGTTCTTTTTCCAGGTAGATTCCGGTTGCGACGAGATTTCCGGCCACATTGAGGAAGACAATGATGGGCAGTAGGCTCCATTAGTGGATACAGCGGAAAAGTTGGTTCCTATTTTTTGCCTGACCATTGCGAAGTTGCTGGGAAGAATCGGGGTATCAACTATGGGAGTGAGGATGCGTACAAGAAAGAGGGAAACAAAGAAACGAAGGAAAAGGAAAGGGATTGAGGACAATAAGGCGTGCCAAGATGGCATGCTCAAGCCTTAAGCCTTTGAAGCCTAGGCGAGTTTAAGCGAGGCGTAGGCGTGAAAAGGCGTTTCAAGTTTTTTCCCTTTATTTTAATTTTTCTAGAGTTATTTTTATATGTGTAAATTTAATATGGATGCACTAGACAATACTTCTTTGTCCCACTACCTTGCCTAATTGTTTTTCTTTTTTATCCATCCCATTAAGTTAGTATCATACAATATTTGATAATATTTGTGTGGTTCTAATTCAGTCTTAATTTTATTTTCACATTTTATCAGTTAAATACTAATTACATAATTTTAATTTTCTTAATAATCACCACTCTATTCGGACAAAAGTAATATCATACAAGAGCATCATACTTTTCAAATTACCAACAACATTTATCTCTAAAGTCGTAAATCTCACAAATACAAATTGACCTATTACATAAAATTAGAATTGAATAAGATAACTGTATTGTAAAATAATATTCATGATGATTACAAAAAGGACATTGATGATAATGCTTATAATTAATAATATAGTATTAATAATAAATATTAGTGATTGTTTACTTGTTTAGTGTATTTATTAAAAAAATCAAAACAAAGTTCAATAAGTGGGTGCGTAGAAAAATTGGAGTTGTATAAGTGGAACCATAGCTAAAGTTGAAAACCTTTTCTTATAATGCGTATTTGAATTTGTCTCACACCGGAAGAAAGAGGAGAATTCCTGTTTACGATGCTCAATAAATACGTCTTCGCTTCCTTTGAAAATTCAACAGCTTTCTGAGTCAAGAATGGCTATGGGCACTCCAAGTTTTGGGGTTTGAGTCCAAAGGAATGCCTTTTGCAGCACCAAATGGGTGTGCGAGGCATTTGGTTGGCGCATCACGCCTACTCCCGCCTATGCGGTGCCTTTTGAAGTGTTTTAGAACAGTGGGTGAGGCGTACAATTTTAAGGAAGAAAGAAAAGAAAAACAGAAAAAAATGTCACATAGTGTGCCACACGGACAACCACTTATGTAGCTATCCTAGAAATCGGTTGATTATCGGGTAAACAGCCTAATTGAGCGTTTTTAATAGTGCGAGGATTTAATTGGGTGTTTTCAAAGTACGTAGACTTAATTGACTATCTGTACAAAGTAGGAGGACTTATATGACAACTTTCTCTATAGAAGAATCATAATGAAGAATCTACAATCATTTCACGCAAATTAAAAATGTCAATCCTCTCAGATCTACATTTGTCCCTAATTGTTCTTTTACGTATATAGACCCTTTTATTTCAACATTGAAGAATCTAATTATCATCATTTTCGCAGAATGAAATATTAGTTGGTTGTTGTTGGTCCGACTCTAAGCATATCTATACAGAATTTGGTTTTGGAAGATGAATCTTAGCTTGCCCCATCTCTCTTGTTCTTCTTTGAAATTTGGTTTTTGAAGATGAATCTTGTCCTGCTCCGTCTCCTTTATTTTTCTTTGGTTGAGATTTCATAAACAAGGCATTACATAGATTAGTGGTAACACTGAAACTAATTTATTTTTATTTACTTATTTATATTGGGGGCTTTGCATAGAAAATATGTGGTTGTATAGAGAATTTCCCTTTTTGTGAAGAAAAATATAGCATCAATCAATTAAATCCTTTGCTAACTAACTTACAATCTTTCTCTATACAAAACGAAGTGGAATGGCTGCCACTTTTTCTGCCCATTTCGCTGGGTAAAAAATGGGTCAAACATGTGAGATTCAGTTTTGACAGGTTTGGGTCCACATCTGTTGAATAATTTTTTTTTGTTTAAAATTTTGTCAATTACGATGCCATTGAAGCCAACAGAATGAAATCGTTTTGCGGACAACAGAGTTCAATTTCAAAATCGTCAAATGCATTAAATTCGGGTAGTTGGGCAATTAATGAGGTGGTTGGGCATTAAAGAGGTGGTTGAGGGGTTAAGCTTATTACACACAGGGTATTTCATCCTTATTGCAACAATTCCGAATTCACTATAAATAGGGAGTTAAGTTCACTTCGAATTCACCATCACACCATGGCAACAAACACATAAAACCTCAACCAAATAGCAGTAATTTGTACTCTATGATAAAGGAGGTTGACCACACCAGGTCAACTTGGGCTCTCAGCGTAAGGGTTGTGAGGGCTTATGAGATGCCCTCTTATTCAAAAGGTGGTCAATGAATGGACGTCGTTTTTCAGTTTTCACGATGAGGAGGTGATTTATCTTTTCAGTTTTGCATAAAGCCCAAGTTTGTCTATTTTCACATGATCGTTAACAAGTATTTATATTATGTTAATAGCTATTTGTGTATCTTTGCAGGGGGACTGTATTCATGCAGTCATAAAGAGGCCGTTCATGCCTGATAGACTAATTGAGTTGACTTTGGAAGATCCAGAGTACTTCCCTAATCTTAAGATTCAACTATCAATATTATATTGGAGTGTTGTATTTTTATACATTTATGATGTTATTCTTTTTCTAATTTATAGGGAAATCGCATTGGGTGCACTTTGTGGAATAACTACTACAAGCAGTTCACAGATTTTCATGATCTGCACAAGGATGAAGCCATCTATATCATCCTCCAGATGGGAAGACCTAAACGCTATCAAGGTAAACGTTACAAAAACATTCGCTTGGGAAAACATTATCTTCCAAACTAAATAAGAAAGTTTTGAAAATATTTACAGGTCAAGTTTTGGAAAGTACTTCTAATGATGTTTCTAAGTTGATAATGAACATAAGTACACCAGAACTTGAAGACTTCAAAGCAGAATGGATGTCTTTCTACACACTACTCACAAGCACCACACTAGGAGGAGGCTATAGCAAACCACTCTCTACTCTCCACCAAGGACCTCTCTACTCTCACACAAAGGAAAGGAAGAAGAAGGGAGCTCTGCTCTCTGGAAGTGTTACTCTCGCAGGCTACTCAACAAGGGAAGAAGCAAGGCTTCTATATAGTAGGCTGGCTGACAGAAAGAAAGTCACGGGTAAGACCAAGACAAGAGTAACGGATGAAGCAAACCGAAAAAGCCTCACATGTTACTTAGACAAGGAGTGCAGCGGACAGAAACAGAGGAGGGTCAGCCAAGTAGGTGAGTCAAACACTCAACAGGTATATAATTGATCAGATAATATACCCAGGTAAAAGGTGCCAAAGTGGGGGTAAAACATAGGGTGAAAGCCTCAACAAATAAAGTGGAAGGGAGGCCTTGGTAGGACCAATACCTCCAACATTCTCCACCTTATTGGTCCTAGGTGGTGTAGAGTAACAATGCAAGGTTGTGACAAGACTCATCATCGCCGGGTCACCCGGAATATCAACATATAAAACGGGCAAACACTTTATTATGCAACCTACAGTTATCCACAATCAAAGTTTAACACGCGTTTACAGGACAAGTGCTTCTCAGCAAAAAGACACTTGGTACCCATATCTGCGGGATTAAACTCGGACGGGATCTTGTACAGCTTGACTCCACCTGCATCAACAATATCACGTATGAAATGGAACCTAACATCAATATGCTTAGTTCTATCATGAAATACATGATTTTTGCAAAGTTGGATGGCCAATCGGCTATCTGAGAAAATGGTAACTCCCTGAAGTGGTTGTTTAAGGTTAAGGAAGAACCTAGTGATGTTAGGTTTAAGGCTAGGTTGGTTGCGAAAGGGTTTACTCAAAAAGAGGGGGTAGATTATGCTGAAATCTTTGCTCCTGTTGTTAAATTCACCACTATTCGTATTATGCATAAATATTTGCTCCTGTTGTTAAATAAACCATGACTGGGAAATGAAACAAATGGATATAACTACTGCATTTTTGCATGGTGAATTGGACAAAACGATTTATATGACCCAGCCTAAGGGCTTTGTGGATCCCAAGAGAAGTGAGCATGTCTGTTTTCTTAGGAAGGCTTTGTATGGCCTGAAGCAATCCCCTAGACAATCGAACATCAAATTTGATAAATGCATGATATCTTTGAAGTTCCAAAAATCTGTTTGTAATCATTGTCTATATTTCAAGAATACTTCTTCGGTGCCTGTATTATTGTTACTCTATGTGGATGACATGCTGATAATTAGTCCTTCTCTGAATGCTATTAAAGATGTGCAAAAATGCCTTTGTGCGAATTTTGCCATGAAAGACCTAGGTGATGCCAAGAGGATCCTAGGCATAAACATTGTTAGGGATAGGAGTAAGCGTACTCTTACATTGAATCAGATTTCTTACATAGAAAAAGTTTTGAGTAAATTTGATATGTTATCTGCTTCTCCTGTAAATGTCCCTATGGCATCTCACTTTGTGTTAAGTAAGTACCAGTCTCCCAAGACTGCTCCTGAAATTGAGAAAATGAAATTTGTGCCCTATTCCAGTTCAATAGGGTCGATTATGTATCTTATGGTTAACACTAGACCTGATATTGCATATGCAGTTAGTTGCTTGAGTAGATATATGTCCAACCCTGGTTTGCCCCACTGGAATGCGTTGAAATGGTTGTTGAGATATGTGAAGAGTACTCTTACTCATGGCTTGATGTTTTCTAAATGTGCTAATGGTATTGAATTGATTGGTTATGTTGATTCTAACTATGCATGATAGAGTAAATGTCTAGAGAGAAGTGAGAGCTAGAGAGAGAAGTGCAATATATGCTTCAATAGAGTGATTTTGTAACCCTGATAACTACCTCCAGAGGAAGTATTTATAGGGAAAATACGGGCTGGGCTCCCAAGTCTTGGGCTTGGGAGGCCCATTTACAACTGGACCGCTATTGGGCCGAATACAAAGCCACTAATGGGCTATACAAATGAATAAGTGTAAAATCCGGTTCTGTGAGACTTCCGTGGCCGAAGAGGGCGCGACCGACGAGGGCGCGGCCGACGAGGGCGCGGCCGACGAGGACCCCCTGGTTCCCTGGCTTCATGGCCATATTCTGAGTTGGTCCCTCTCTGGCCGTCGAGAGTCTCCTGGCCGAAGAGGGCACCACGGGGTGGCTGTGCTTTCTGTTCTTCTGGGTATGTGGGTCCTGGGGCCCGAACCCATATACTCCATCAGGAGTCCCCCACTCTCTAAGCTGAGATGTAGACGAAGCGCAGGAGAGTAGATTTCCGTGCCAGATGATTCTTGGCCGATGTGGGACCGTTGGCCGTTCCCTGATGCGGCCGGGGAGGACCCTTGTTCCTTTGGTGCGCTTTGTTTGTTGGATGATGCGCGTTCCGGCATAGGTGGCCGATGAAAGTGGTATCTGTCCTTGGTTGCTGACTAGGTAAGGTTTCCCTTTTGGGCTGGTGAGGCCGATGAGGGCACTCCGCATTCCCTTTGGCCGTTGTTGATGACGCCTTGTGTGTTTGGACGACCAGGCGTCATATTGCCCAAGGTTTTGGGGTTGATAACACTGTCTGGCCGAAGAGGAGGTTGTGAGGACCTCGGGGCCGTTGTGGTACATGGACGTCAGTGGTTTAGGTATGTTCACCTTTCTCTTGGTTCCTGGCTTGAGTGATGTGGTTTCGAAGCCGATAAGTGTCCGTGATCTCAAGCTTTGTTGTGGCCGAAGGTGCACCATGATGTTATGGACGTTGTGGTGCATGTCTGATGTTGTAGTTGTGGACTTGGTGTATTTTGGATTTCTTTTGATTTTGCCTTTTATTCTTGAGGCCGGTGTAGTCCCCCAGTCCCCCACTGCTTCAGGCCGAAGAGTAAGTGAGGGGTGAAGGAGTAGAGTGGAACGTAGGCCGAAGTGGGATCCTCATACTGCCCATGAATCCAACCCTTTGGCGATTTCCTGACCAAGGTAACCCTGTGGGAGAACCCTTGGACGCAGGTCGCTTTCAAAGGGTTATCATCAAGGATTTAGTGTGAGGGCCTCATGGGCGTTACGGTCATCTCCTTTGGGATGATGTGACCATCTGAGTGGCCGATACGGGTGTCGTTGGGGTACCGTTGTATGCTGTTGGCTGTAGAGTTCCCTGGCCGTTCTGGGTGTTTTTCTCCCCTTTCCCGTTCCGTAGAGCCTGATTTGCCAGCGGGCTCTTGATATGTAGTTTGGGCTTGGCCCATTGGTGACGTGGTGGCCTCCCGTTGGTGGCCGTTGATGTGGCCACTGGGAGGGTGCCACGTGTAGTGACCGTTGGGTAGGGGGTTCTATAAATACCCCTCTCCATCCGACGAGAATTCTCACTTGCAATCTAAGTTGTCGAAGTGTTGGCCAAATTCCTAGAGAGATAAACTCCCAAGCTTGTGTTCTTCGTGTTCTTCGTGTTCAAGGTTAGTGTTCATCGAAATCTTCTCTGTACTTTGCATATTTTGCTTCCTAGGCTAGTGATCTAGTGTTAGGCGCTTGAACACCCTTAGATCTTGAAGTAGGCTGCAGCATACCCGAACTAGTGTTTTAGATGAAAAACTTCAACGAAGAGTACTATCCCTACGATGACGAGCCCTCCGCCAAGTCCCTCGATTATGAGGTGGTCGAGGAGTTCTGTGAGGAGCTTGAGAACCTGAGCTCGTTCAGGACCGGTGAGCAGGCCGAGGAGGACGGTGCAGACGAGGGGTCCGCGTCATCGTCTGGAGATGGGGACGCATGTGTTTCCCGAACTGCTGATGGGGCGTCCACGTCGGCTGCCATTCCCTGCCCAAAGCCAGTGTCTGCCGTGAAGGGTGTTGCGCCGCCGAAGAGGGTAAGGAGGCCGAAGAGAGGGCCGGCCTTTTCTTACTTGGATCTGACGAACATCTACGTTATCAGGCCGCAGAGTAATGCGGGTGAATATCTGGTGGCGCAGATGTATGTGGGGTCGTACGGTAGAGTCAGGGCCCCCAGACCGACGGATCATGTGCTCAATCCACCCCCGAGTTACTTCGGAGAGTACCCGATGAGCTTTGCCAAAGGGCTTAGGTTCCCGCTTCATCCCTTTATCACCGAGTACCTTGATATGGTGGGGCTTCCTCCGGCTTTATTGACGCCAAATAGCTACTCGCTCATCGTCGGCTTCCTTCTGCGGTGTGCTGAGTTGGATTTCAAGCCGACGACGGCGCTGTTCATGAATCTTTACCAGATAGGACGCGGAAGTCACCAGAACTGTGTGTCATATGCCACTCTCCAACAACTGCCCAAGAAGAGGAGTTTTACAGACCTGCCGACGTCCATCCATGGCTGGAAGGGAAAGTTTGTGTTCGTGTCCTTGGGCGAAGGGGGCATAGAGTTTCCCTCCGTTGGCCATACCGGCCGTTTTAATCTTCATGATACGCCGAGGAGCTCCATCCTGGACGCTCAAGTTGAGGCTTTCCTGAAAGGAGGGCCGAGGAGTGTGAAGACGTATATTACCGAGTACAAAATGGCCGCCCTCAGCTTTGTACGGTATGTTGTGTATGGTGATCTTGACGACGATGTGGAGTTGTGGCCGAAGATGACCACGTCTTATGAGGAGGCTGATGGTCCCGATCTGGGGGTGCCAGTTGAGGCCGATGGTAAGTCCCTTCTGATGCGCTTCCTCTCGTCGTACTTTTGTATTCTGTTTTTCTAACCCTTAGTGTTTTTTGTGATGCAGGTTTTGTGATGGATCGCATGTCCTTTATGAAGAGGGCACAACTCAAAGCGGCCGAGGAGCTGAAGGCCCAACAGCCTGGTGCTTCCCCTGCGGCCAAGCCCCCGGTACAGCCGAAGAAGAAACGGTAGGCCGATGAGGGCCAAAAAAAGTTGACCGAGGTGGGACTGAAGCCTCCCGAAAAGTCAAAGAGGGCTTCCTCTGCCGGTGATGCTGGGACGTCGGCTATTCCTTCTGGGGACGGAGGGGGTTCAAACGCTGATGATTTGGTGGACCACCCTTCGGGCCCTTCGTCCACCACTCTCTCCACTGTTCCTGCTGCCGTAACGGCCGCCCGAAAGAAAGGGTCCGGCTGAGAGCT